AAAAGAAAGAAGAAAAGAGGATAGATATCCTCTGCGGAATTTAACCTTGGGCTGAAAATTAAGAACTGACGAACAATTTCGTTGACTTGTTCGTCTTCCGTGTTCCATGAAATCTTTGAAAGAGAGAAAGAAACCGTTCGCACGAACGCGCAAAAAGCTGAAAATTACAGGTGATTCGCGATACCAATGGGACTCTTCGAAACGATTGCTCGTAGAAGAGAAGACTTTTATAGTTGACTTTTCCACGTTTCTGATACATTCACGGAAAAGAGTTCAAGGTCTCGCGATTGCGCATCGTACGATTGTATGCAAAGTGCGCGTTCGCGCTTGCACATTCACCACAGTGGACTCGCTTGACTCTCTCTGCCTGCTTAGGAAGGAATACGAAAATAGAACGAGCGAGACAAATTCGCCGGCAGTGAGCTGCCGTCGAGTCTTCGAAGAAGTATCGGATAAATATTTCAAAGTTAACGAATAATAACGTTCCTGATGGCTTTCGAGACGTTGGTTAAAAAAACCTCGTGAATGAAATGATCCTCGAGCGCTTATACATTCGTCTTCTTTTTGCTCTCTTTCTCTCTTTCTTTCTCTCTCTTTTTTTCTTCTTTTTCTTTTTTCCTTTTTCTCAGTTGCATTTCTTAGCGTATGCAACAAAAGAACCGGTGTTCTGTAAAAGAATAAGACCACTCGAGGGAACCAATCGCGACGTCGACGTCCGACATCTTTCGAAGGGAAAGACAGGTGCAAGGAACCAATATGTAACACCTTCCGAGAAAGAACGCTTCGCTGATTTCGTTTCCCTCTTATTCGAGACTTTTCATCTCTAATTCGTATTTCTTATTAACTTATTACGATCGAGCAAATAGTATACGAGCTAACAATTTTGTACGTTCCATGGGAAATCGGTAAACATGCAATATGCAAATTGTTGAATAAATATATGTTTTCATTGCTATTATATTACATGTACTAATCATTTGTTCAATTTATACACTATCGATATTACCGTAATTTGTTGTCTAAACGCATCGTTCGTATTCCCATCTCTCTTCCTTCTGTTCAAGCACGTTTTCCGACGATACGATCGCGTAATAATTATATGCGCATGTATAATCAACGCACGCGCGTACGCCATTGTATTCGTCTTCCTCGTTGCACGTTTTTCCTTCTCTCTCTCTCCCCCCCCTCTCTCTCTCTCTCTCTCTTTCTTTCTTTTTCTCTTTCTATCTTTCCCATGTGGCAAGGTCGTTAGAAATATTCATATCTGACTTCCCCCATTGGAGATCGTAAGTTAATGTCTGATTTTTTGATAAAGAAAAGAATTCCACCAACAATAAAAGGTTTTACGGCGAAAAACGAGCAGCTATTCTCATTTCTAATCAATCCTCGTTGACATCAAAGAGTAAAAGAAAACTTCGTGGAAAGAGATGTACAATACGATGCACAATAGTTTCTTCGCGAATGAGTGTGATGAATGAGAGATAAAGATGAAGTCAAGCGTTGCACCCGTGTTTTCGTCCAAATGTCTTCGATGTCTCTTTTTTGTCCTACCCTTTCTTTTCCGTTCTTCACCTTACTTCTTCTTCTTCTTCTTCTTCTTCTTCCTCTATTTCTTCTTCTTCTTTATCCTCTTTCTGGACATACCCTCTCTTCCCTCGCGCACAATCTCTTTGACGCAGACTTGTCTTTGATATTCCTGCCAGAAAATCCCACTTAACGCATAAGCGTCTGCTTTCTCCGTACGACTCCCCCGATCCGTCTCATCATCGTCTCGCACTCACGTCTTTCTACGTTTGTCTCTTTCTCTTCGTTTCTATTCTCTTTCTTTTACTCTTGGTACTCCTCTCCTTTTTCATGGGCATGCGCATCATACGTGAAAACGCGGCGTGACAGAAAGAGAGAGAGAGAGACTGAAAGAGAGAGAGAGAGAGAGAGAGAGAGAGAGAGAGAGAAAGAGAGAGAGAGAGAGAGAAGTAAAGAGGAGCACTCGCCTTTCGTTACTCCGAGCTCGTTTAATTTAACGAAAGGAAGGTTGAAAGGAGGATCGATGATTAAAGGGTCGGTATGCGAGCATGGAGAGCGCTAAATCGTTTGTCCGTTCGCTCTTCGTTTAAATCGAATTTTCTCTATCTAATAACATTTGCGCGCTTCTTTTTAATCGGCGCTCATTGTCGTTGGTGAAGTCAAACTTGAGATCGAAAATCGACGATGACGAGGTAGACAACGAGGAAAGTAGAGAGAAAGAGAGAGAGAGAGAGGGAGAGGGAGAGAGAGAGAGAGAGGATGATATTACTCTCTCGACGCGATACTCGACGGATAGGAATTCTCGTTGGACTTGCGACGATGGGATCCGCCGATCGGTACACGCCCACTTTTTCGAGATTCCAATTAGGCCGACCCTTCCGTAGGTTTTATTCGGTAGTTAATTGGTATCCAGGGGACAGCGGTGGGTGATGGCGATCGGTAGTGGGGATCGAGTCTTATATTTATTGGCTCCTAGATAGCGAATTCAAAGGAAGTGTCGCGTACAAATTACAACCGAACGTTCCTCTCGTTGCTTCTGATCTTTTATAAAAATCCTTACTTTCGTATATTTGCACGGTAGCATTCGAATTAAACGAAAGTCAAACGAATACGGCATCAATTCTGCCATATTCGAAAAAGAAGAATAAGAAGAAGAAATGAAAAGCGCGAACTCGTAGGAAAGTGCTTTTTAAATATTAAAGACTATAATAAAAGAGGCGGATCGATGGCCATAAAACCACCTTGCATGGGTATTATTATAACGTTCTAGCCGGATCCACTGAGATCCATAGAAACTTGTCTACAGTCTGGGAAGTTGAGAACGTATCCCTGCACGCGTGTTAGAGTTTAAGAAGGGGTCACTAGGAGGCTCCATACATATTCATGCCGAGTATTTACCTAAGGCCAGAAAAGAACTGTTAAGAACGAAGGCAACGTATTGCATTAATACAAGGGTCCTCGAGGATCCTACGAATACATAGGTATATGCAAATGACACCGTTCTCGCGTAGAGAAGAAGGAGCCTTTTTTTCCCCCCTTTCTTTCCTTCTTTTAAATCACACATCGAGACTACCGAAGCGAAATGCATCAACTTAACGAGCACACCGAGATAATACAGAAAGGAGTCCGCCTTTGCTTCACCATGGGAAATGATAAACGCCATAAAAAAGTATACGGAGATAAACGAATACGTTCGTGCTTGGAATCCGGAAAGCCTTAGGGAGAAAAACGATCAAAGTCTCGCCGTTCGCGTCGTTGGAGAAATTGGTGAATGGCCAGGTTGCGAGTGCACGCCCACGCACGCTCGCACATTGGACTCTCTCTCTCCTCTCCTCTCCTCTGTCTCCTCTCTCTCTCTCTCTCTCTCTCTCTCTCTCTCTCTATATCTATCTATCTCTTTCTCTTTCTCTCTTCTTTTCTCGTACGCGCGATTCGTCGAGGTCGTCGTTTGCCGAGCTGCGTTTAGGGTCGACGTATAGTATCGACATGGGGGCACAAGGAGAGAGAACGGATATTATCGCCAAACGTTAATTTCGCCGAGGCCCGGCCTACCTTCCAATTTTCAAGCCCTTACACGCCCACTTACGAGATTGTCCGTTAATGCTCCGAAACGTCCAGACGCGCATATTCGACGCCCGCGTTTCGCTGCTGCATCTTGTTGCACCAACGACCGTATATGTCGTCATCTGTACATATGTAGGCACGTTCATTAAAGGTACGTCGAACCCATCGATCGATCGAACCAATTGATCCACTTTTCCCTCAGCCTCGTAAATTTTTATTGAGAATTCCCTGAGAATTCAAGGAAATTTTCTTCCTCTTTTTTTTTTTATTTACTTTAATTTAGGTGATTCTTTTCGACTTATCTTCAGCAATTGCATTTTCAGTTTGCGGACAAACGAGAAAAATCAAATACAGATCGAAGGGGGTTTACGAGAAAATCGAAAGAAATTCTCGCGAGGGCTAAATAGGGCGGCACGAAGGGCGAAGAGAACGTTACCGTACAGTCTCCTGTATATCGTATGGACACACGAAGAAACGAGCGTTAATGTGTGCGAGCGCCGTTGGAAAGAACCGGTTGTATAGGAACCGTCTTCCACCTTCTCCTCTTCTCTTCTTTTTCCTTCTTCTCTTCTTCTCTTCTCTCCTTTTGCTCATCCACCGACCTTTTCGTTCCATCCTCACCGACGCTCGGACTAGCTCCCATATACAGGGTGTTCGACCGTCTTTCTCCGATTCAAAGAAACACCCAACAAAGATTTTCCTAACTCATAATACAAAATACCTTTGGAGTTTCTTCAATCTGTATTATACCTTACTCGGAGAAATGCAAAGCTTTATAAAAGATGAAAAATAATATTACACTTATATACACTTTACCAATTCGTACAATTAAATCGGGGACGTAGAAATAAAATGAAATTAGAAAAAAAAAAGAAAAAAAAAAAATATTTCTACATTTTTATTTCACGAGTGTAAAATTCGTAAACACGAGGAGAAAAATATCTCCGTTCTACGATAATTCATCGATTTGATAAAAAAAGAAAGAACAGAGAAACATAGGTGCTCCTCCGACTAAACGGCAGCGAGACGGCTTACTCCAAAAATAAACACCCAACGAAGTGGAAAGAGGAGGACGTCGAACCGGATGGTAGAAACACCCAGTATAATAGACTCCCTCGTGTTCGTACGTGCGCGATCGTGAACACGCGTGTGCGCGTAGAGGCTTCTACTTGCGCTTACGCGAAGGCTCCGACACTATAGGCGCCTGCCTATCAGACGTTGGGTGCCTACGAAATCGAGTCGACTTTTTTCTTTATTTTTTATTTATTTTTTTTTTCTCTTTTTTTTTTGTATCCCGTTCGGCTACCGAAAGGAGCCACATTATAGGATGCTCTAAACGAGACTCTTTTAATTTTTTGTAAACATTTCTTTTTCTTCTGCTAATGACACTTTTTTTTCTTTCTCTGTTACAGATTTCGAATAGACAACACGGATCATATAATAGACGTGAACAAGAACAACGCGGTGTTCGAGTACGATCAAGTGAACATAATTTGTCCGATGTATAAATTGGGCACATATGATCCAGAGAAATATCTCATTTACAACGTAAGTATATTTTAAAGATTTCTTTTTCTATCTATTCATCTATATACAAGATCAACGAGATAAATGCCGGATAGTTTAACTTTAAAAAAGATCACAGGATCTCTTAGTACATTGCGATTCTATATATCGTGACGATTTGTTTTAAGAATTTATTTACACGGAGATAAAAAAAAAAGGGGGGGGAAGAGATGGGAAGGAGATGCGAACACCCATGGGGTGCATCGATGACGGACAAGCCTTACGACGAAAAAATAGTTGAGGCTGGTTTCCGTAATGTTTAGACAGCTGCTACTACTCGAGACCAGTTCTTTGACTACCCGCTTTTCTTTCTCTCTCTCTCTCTCTCTCTCTCTCTCTTTCTCTCTCTTTTTCCTCCTCCCTCTCACCAAAAGTGACTTCGTGCGCGAACTTCCAATGGAAAAGAAACGAAGATGTTGCCGTTAACGATCCGTGCAAAGCTTAAAGAGTTCCTCTTTCGGACATTTACATTGTCTCGACTCGGTCGGGTAATCGGCATGCCAGTCAGCAAAAGGTAGTATAGCTTTCGCGACAACGACGGCGTCGCGACGAATTCTCCTTTCCCCTCCTCCCCCACCCTTTGGAAACTTATCAAAGATTCTGTCGTCGTCCTCATCCAGATACCGTAGACGTTCGTGCATCGTTCACGTATTTTCATGAACTCATCGAACCGATCTAATCGCAGATCGTGGCCTTCCTCATAGCGTCCACTCCATTGTCTCGATAGCCGTTCTCTCTGTACGGCGATTAGGATCGACACAATAGATCTTTTCCCTCTTGTTCTCGACTTCTCTTTTTCTTTCTTTCTGCCACGAACGACGTGGCAAAAAGGCCGAGAAAGGGTTCGAAGGACGGACAAAAATTCTATTCGTATCCCAATACACAGTACCCCGGCTGTTGAAACTTCTTTCACAGTAGTCAATCAGCGATTAATGCCATGCTTGAGCAAAGAAAAGCATAGAGAGATAGATAGAGATAGATAGATAGATAGAGAGAGAGAGAGAGAGAGAGAGAGAGAAGAAAAGAATAGCTTTTTCCACATAGTCTGTGTTGACCGATCGTAACGAAAATGAAAGTTTTCAGGTTCACGATGTGGGCGTATCCGCTAATCTTTTTTCTGATCGTTGCAGGTGTCCAAGGAGGAGTACGAGACGTGTCGAATAACAAACCCAAATCCTCGCTTAATAGCAATTTGCGACAAACCATACGAGGATAAGTACTACACGATCACCTTCAGGCCATTCACGCCGCAACCGGGGGGCCTCGAGTTCCTGCCTGGCCACGATTACTACTTCATCAGCACCTCGTCCAAGGAAGATCTACATAAGCGTATCGGCGGACGATGCACCTCCGACAACATGAAGGTTGTCTTCAAGGTTTGCTGCAGCAACGACACCTCCTCCTCATCCGCCACGTCTCGCAACAACTGTGAGTATTGTATAGGCCATCGAGAAAAGAAAAGAAAAAAGAAAAAAAAAAAAAAAAGAAAAAAGATAAGAATAAAAAAGAAACCTAATTTCCAAAGAATATCTTTCCGTGCCCGCTTTCAATCCTTCAATTATTAAATTAAATACATGAGACAAATTACAGACGTTGTCTATATCAAAAGTCGGTACCTTTCAATTTCATTCTTGAAATCTTTTTCGCACTTCACGCGTTACACTCGCATCGTTCGTTCACGCATATCTTGTGTCGACTCAAAGAAGAATGAAGAAAGGAGAAGAGAAAAGAAGGACCGCGCCATAAATTCATTATCCCTTAATCAGTTATAAGAGGAACGACTTCCATAACAGGCGGTCCACTCACCGCTACTCGTTCGTGTCCTCCTCGGCAGTCTCATTCTTTCATATATTTCCTTTTCTCTTTCCCTCTGCCTCCGTCCTACTATTTTGCCCTCTCCATTTCTCTACCGGCCTTTCTCCGCCTCTTAAATAATCCCTATCAATTATAATTCTTAGCGCGCACCATTTGTTGCGGTTAGACCACTGTCCCAGAGCACGATAAATTCCACCATTTCATTCCACCGAGCGAGCACTCGTCTCCACCTAATTCGTTCCGAGCATCCTTCTCTCGAACGAACTGGCGAGTGCACACCGAGAATGATTCGTACTACGTAATGAGCTATCTTACTATCTCTCCGAGCGATAAACTCGTTCAAACTCATCCACGAGAAACTTGAGATTCTACTTTTTAGCGTACTCTTTTCCATCTTTTCTATATATAGTACCCTCTTTTTTACTGGTTATTGTATCAAACATTTGAATAAAATAAAAGAAGACAAAAAAGAAAACAATTAATTGCCTTCAAAAAATATCGTATAATAATAAAAAGCATTGTTCTTACTTTAGCCGTAGCCGTGACCAGCAGCACCGTGCCCAGCAGCAGCTCAACGAGCACCGCGGTTTTGGGCGGAGGAGCTGGTGGTATGATGCCACCACCACCGCCACCGAGCGTCCTCAAGGGTGGAGAACGATTCTACCCGGGAGGCAACATTCATCATCATCGCGATCATCATCAACCGGCTACGGTGATGCCGACCCACGTTCCCCCTTCAGCGTTGTACCCTGTACATCCGCATCAGCCACAGCCTCCGATTCACAATGGACCCCCGTCTGTCTCCTCGCCGCCAAAGACCTCGATTGGACAGAAGAAAAAGAATAGTACGTATATAATCTTATATATATATATGTGTGTGTGTGTGTGTGTGTGTGTGTGTGTGTGTGTGTGTGTGTGTGTGTGTATATGTATGTATGTATGTATGTATAAGTATCTACGTATAGCTATATACGTATTTGAGTATCTAGTTATATTTCATTCCGAACCGTCGAATTTCTTTGATATAAATGACTAAAAAACGTGAAACCTTTCCTGAAAAATGTAACACGGTTCATCTCGTTCTTGTCTCGCGTCCTACACCAGATGGAAAACCAATAAAAGTAAGACGAGGTGCGACGACTTCGTAGATCTCCCGAAAGCCATCTGTCGGTTTTGCCATTCCTGCATATCTTTTATCTTTTTCTTTTTCTTCTTTTTATTCGGGGAGGGGTGGATGGAAGGGGGGAAGGGGAGAGATTTCCTTTTTCTTGTCCTTCACATCAACGCCTACGATAATTCGAGTCGTACACAGCCGGTGCAGCTATTTTGCATTTGAGCGATAAACGATGTGCGCGAATGGCCATTAACGAGGCGTATTTCCGTGTGACTTGACCGTGGAGAAGTTTTTATTTCCTTCGCGTCGATTTGGTAGAAACTTTCTCACGTGGGTCTCTCTTTCAAATTTTCAGAGGAATACTCCGATCATCCTAATGAGGTGGTGAAGAACGAAGAACTAACGTACAACGGCGCGACGTCGTATGGGTTCGGGCAGGTCCTGTTCCTGATGGTCTCTAGCGTTTTGATAAGTGTTCTCATGCCGCAATTGCTGCGGTGAAGCGACGACATTACCAACGAAGAGCGTATCCCATGCGTCGAACCCCTTCTTCTGTGATTATCCTACGTTTAATTAATTTCTTGAGGCACGCAGCGCCTCTATCGTGCGCTGCAGGCCCTCGATCGTGGGACACGCGCGCAGATCAACCATCATTCGGTTTGACCCGAGACCGAATACTGAGAAGGAAAGAAGAAATATCTATTAGATACTGCTGGTAAGAAGGTATAGATATATATACAGATGGACCTAGAAAGACTACGTGTCTGAATAAAAGACTCGTGGCAAAGCCATATTAATTACTAATAAAAAAGGAAAGACAAGCGGGATGGCGTATAGATGTCGAGATGGTCAAGCAAGACGACGAACGACGAAGAAAGATGAAGGAGAGCGAAGAAAAAAAAATGTTGAAAAAAAAAAGATGAAGAAAAAGAAAAGAAGTAACAAGGAGAAACGCTGCTACTAGATACTATTATAGTACGCCCACTATTATCACTACTATAAATGGTAGTCGTATTGGTTGTCCTTCGTATCGTTACGCTAATTCTAGGTATTTATTCGAAATACAAGAGAGCGTGATAAAAGAGAGAGAGAGAGAGAGAGAGAGAGAGAGAGAGAGAGCGAGTGTATGAAAGTAATGTGTGACGCGTGAGAAAAGTTGTGTGCGAGTAGCGTGTTAAATATCTTCGGAGCGAATAACGTTAGCCGCGCATACGAGTTATAATCTAGCCAGAAAAACAAACGAACCTTCGTCGAATCGACGGAAGACGAAACTTAAACGATTTTTCTCGACAAGAACAATGAGATTATCCATCGTTGAAGAACTAACGTTGAATCGTTCTAACGGTGAATCGTTCCAGCTCGTTTCCCATTTGAATCGTCCTGCGCGTTTACCTGTACATTCGTTGACCCACGATAATTAACACGCCTGTAAATAAATTCCTAACAAATATGTACAAGTGACTCCAGCGGCTTCTTCGAGTTGCAAGGAGATTTAGGAGAGTGCCGTATACTAGACGAATCTTATATATGACGCACGAGAGAGAGAGAGAGAGAGAGAGAGAGAAAGAAAGAAAGAAAGAAAGATAGAGCGCGTAAATTCCCACTAAAAGTAAAGACCCGTTTGCGAAATTTATACAACAAAAACGCGAGAACGATCCATCGTCGATATTGAAAATTTCATAAAATCGAGCGACAGTTCAATGGATTTATCCCGATCATGTGCATCGATTCAAATTTGACAAATCGGCGATTGTCGACTATCTCTTCTCGCCTCGATCGTGGCAAAAAATATATATTATCCGTGCGAGAGAGAGAGAGAGAGAGAGCGAGAGAGGGAGAGAAAGAGAGAGAGAAAGAGAGAGAGAAAGAGAGAGAGAGAGAGTTTAAGCGCCAATGAGATAATTCTCTGTGAGTGCGTGAAAATTGCGAGAATGTGAAAATTTGTATAATACCTGTACCATATTGAACTCTATCTATAGATCTGTATTATATTTATTATCCGCTATTATTATACTACGAATATTCAATCGATATTCTATATTTACTAGTAAAATATTAAATTTAATAGCGAATAAATTGCGTATCGACGGTGGGAGACAAAGGGAAACAGAGAAAGAAAGACAGAAAAAGAAGGCTTATGAGAAAGGAGAACAATAAAGACTCGAGGCCTCTTATTCTCAACGTACGGCTAAACTCTCGTCTCATTTGTTGTTTTTTTTTTTTTATACTATCCGTTATATCGGATCTATGAGTAAGCATTATCTATTCGCGAATTTAATCGATTGGGCCGTTCGATCGTCTTCTTTCCTTTTTTCTTTGTATCTTGCATTATCTTTTTGTTCTCTTTCTGTTATTTTTGTAATTCTATTTATTGTCCGTCGTTTCACACGCCACACCTACGCATAATCCTACATTGATATACACGACACGCGGCACATTACACACTTTATACACAATTACAGCGTGAGTTGTCGCACGCGAGCGCGCGCACGACGAAAACCGCGAGAATTCGAGAATGCAAGAGAATATAAGCGCGGACGAATTTTCGTTTCGCATTCGCCATTGAGAGATGTTTAGATTTAATGAATTATTATTGTAAATATGTGTATGCGAAAGAATATCGTATGATAATGATCATGATGATAAGACGATGCTGTTAACGCTGGAGAAAAGAGGGAATTTGCGAAAGAATCGAAAAAGACCGAGAGAACGAAAGAGGACGAGAGAGAGAGAGAGAGAGAGAGATATCCTTCTTATTCCGAATCGTAGATAAAGAAAAAATGATAGAGAGAGAGGATCCTTGAACGCATAGGCCGCTCGATCGACCAATCGTTTTCGTCTTTCGTCAAACGGATCGTCGTCCTTCCTGCACCGACCTAGAAAAGAACGAAAACAATGAATAAGATCGGCCAAAAGCGAAACAAAGCGAAAGAAAAGAAATAACTAAAACGCGTGTTTAATGTTATCCACTACAGTATTGTTAAGCCTAAGTATTACATGCCTACGATCCACGTCTGTTTGTCTGTCTGTCTGTTCGCGTGTCTGTTTACCGTTTGTATACTTTTTCCTCATACGTTATTAATCGCAATAGCATATCACAATGAATATTACGATGATGACGTTTTACGAACATCAATAGGAGACGATTTTATCGGCCGCATTAACGATTCGTCGAAAATTTTGTTTCTGACGTTACTCCGTTTATTTTCTATTTTATTTTGAAAATCACGGACATTTTCGTTTCCATTCGAAATACGTTTTTGCAACGACAGTCGAAGGCTGTAAACCGAGAACCTCAAAGACAATCACTCGCACATTGTAAATTATCCGAAGCTTTTTCTCAAAGTAGATTGATCGTAAACGCCAGAATCCCGTAGCTAATCGACTTACGTCCGAAATAGAAGAACTTCACGCAGATGTATGTACATACAATAATGTTCGGTTCACGGCCCGTCTCGTTCAAGAACGTACGTAAAGTTCTCTTTACGTTGTCACATTCGTCGTATAATTAATTATATTTTTTTTTTTTTATTCATCGTGCGAACTTTGAATCGTAAAAAGCATCAGTGGAAATCGTCTCTCATTGTTAATTTCGTAAACGATCCGTCATCGAATCCACAATTGATCACATACACACACTTCAGCGCCAATAAAGCGATGCAGCAAACGTACATAGATCCACGTGAATGGTACTCGTTCGTACGGACGATAGGTGAATACAGTATAACAATAATATAGAAACGAACTATCGATAGAAAATAGACAAGGTCACTCACTGCAGTTTATTTTATTTTTGTCTCTTTCTCCTCATTTTATTTTTCACATCCTAACGCATCCATTCCATGCAGACCGAATCTCCTATCCACATTTTTTTTCTCTCCATGGATCCATGGTTCGCGACGTGACAGTGTTCCACTATACGAAGATATATTTTGATAGATACGAAAAATGTTCAAAGCACAGAATATCGCTAAAGAATTTGTATCTATACGTGCATAAAGTATATGTATACATGCTGATGTATTCAAGTACATATGTAGAAAATCATTCTACATCCTATGCAATACCTGTCTATTTTAGCGCGAAACTATCTATCTCGCTATCCTGGTCAACGTTACTGGCGTCCCCATATAAAATCGTCTGCAAAAGATAAAGTGGAACGCGTCCTGCCTTCGTACCTAAACTTTATATTATTTTTATTTATTTATTTTTCTTTTTTTTTTTTCTTTTTTATTTTTATTTCTTTTTTTTCAATATTCTCTCACAGCGACATACATATTTGTACTTTATGTTTGTTCAGATCTTTTACGTCAACTTTTCATTCTCGCTTGTGTATGCGCGTGCAAGAACAATGTTGAGAAAATGTGGAGGTCCTTTGAACCGCGACCGAAGGACACGCGTTATATTCTCACCTATATAAAATATATAAAACTTATATGGAAGGATTCGTCCTTCTCATTTATCAAGACCGGAGTTAACAATTTACACCGCGTCTTATACACTGCCAGCGGTTTGATTAAACTGTAAAGGCCGAAGGAGGAAATAGGGAGAAAGATAGATAGAGAGAGAGAGAGAGAGAGAGAGAGAGAGAGAGAGAGAGAGAAGAGAGAGAGAGAGAGAGAGAGAGAGAATGAGACAGAACATTTTTCTTATTAAGTAGAAAAGGAAAAGAGAAAAAGAGAAAGAAAGAGAGAGAGAGAGAGAGAGAGAAAGTGAGCGAGAGAAAAAGAACGAAAGCGAGAGAGAGAGAGAGACATTTTTGTAAATAAGACGATCGATAAACAATTAACACAATGAAATTTATATTAAATGCATAGTAAGTACGAGATAGGTTTCTAATAACGATTTATTATAAAAGTGAATGTACGTTGATGTCTAAGATTTTTAACATGAAAACACACAAAGTGGTTATAATTAACTATGATTATTACTCATAGAACGAGAACACAAGTACTAATTAAACGAGAGGGTTTAAAATACGAAGCCACAGTTAGACAGATCGTGAATCTTTCACGGCGCATATATTATTTTATATTCGGTACATACATTGACACATACGCTCACCGTAATGCGGTAAACGTACACGGCATCATGTGAACAAAAAAAATTAAATTCTCACTGAATGGTTAAAAAATGATTGTCGAGTTCGTAGGTAAACGAAAAAAAAAAAAAGAAAAAATATCGACATACCGTCGATTTTTTAAAATGATTTATCTAACTATAATGTAATCGGGGATATCGTGAGATCATCAAGTGCCATGTACGTTTGTTGCAAAAACGGGTATGTTAGATTGCGTGTGCACATTCAGTACAGTACGTTGTTCATTAAACAAAGCATACAATACAAAGTAGTGTAGCGTTCATAATGGTAGTCCACTGTAGCGAAATAGTGTTTAAACAAAGCAAACAAAAAAAAACCGGAAAAAAGACATAATCAACAAAAAAATTGCAGGTAACCGTACGTAATAAAATCGTAAAACGATCTTCATAAAGGATACACGCATACACATATACACTGATACATCCATACACACATATATACACACACATATTTTAGAGAGCACAAGAGAAGCAAACGAGAAAAAACACACGTACACCACTCGAAGAGAAGAAAAATCGTCTCGTTCACGCGGTAAAAGAGGGAGATTCCATGTGCGCGCGTGTGAGTGTGAGAGAGAAAGAAAGAGAGAGAGAGAGATGAGAGAGAGAGAGAGAGAGAGAGAGAGAGAGAGAAAGAAAGAGAAAGAGAGAAAGGAAGAGTGTGTGAAAGAAGAAGAATGTGAGAGAGGGAGAAAGAGGAAGGAAGAGAGTTAGAATGAAAGAGGACACAAGGAAGGATGCAAGAGAGATGCGATTGGCGCGTACGATGCGTGTTATCAAGAGTAGTACACGCAAAATGGAAAATAACAATGCGCGAACGTAGAAACGTTGGCGTCACATAAGTTATGTAGGTATATTGTATATGTATATCGATATCAGAGATATATCGATGAAAAAGTTAAAAAAAAAAAAACAAAAAAAAAAAGAAGAAAGTAAAACGCGTGAAATGACACCTGACGAAAGGGAAATGGGGACCGAGTCTCCTTTTACTCATCTACACACATACATATACACCGATGCAATGGCATGCTCGCCTCGGTGTAGGTTTTGTTTGAAAGTACCTTGCGCGAATCGTCTCTGTAGTACAAAAGAATGCTCGATGTATGAGATATATACGATCGTTTCACTTGAACGACGTATATTTTTCAATCGCTGGTAAACCCATGGCATCGATTCGAATAATTAATTGTTCTGTATTTTTTTTATTTTTTTTTTTTTCTATTTCTTTTTTTTCCTCTACATTAAGGAAAACAAATATAATCCTTGAAAATAACGTGAAAATTTCCAAATAAAGGACATTAGAATAAAATAAAACATTTTATAAAGATTTCTTTTCTCATTTAATTGATTGGATGCCTTGGTCGAAGATTTTTTGGAGTTTTCATTTAAAAATGAATTTGCTCGTGTACTCGCCGTAAACATATCTTACTTTTTAACTCCTATTCTGTGAAAAAAGAGCTGAGAAAGAGAAAGCGCGGAAAAAAGAGAAAGAAAGAGAGAGAGAGAGAAGAATCATGAATGAAAGAGGGAAGGAAAGAAGTAAAGAAAAAAAAATGAATTTTTGTTCGGTCGTATTCTTGAATTTTTTCGCGAGACTTCAAAAGGTCTATTAATATATTTGTCATCTCATTTCGCTTCATACATTCCATCAAAATTGTAAAAGACACTGTGTATACGGACAAACGCTTTACACTTGCAGAAAGTAAAGATAAAGTATTTGAATTGTTATCGCGAGCAAAGGTTTTATGAATTGTTTGATGAACGTTCGAACGATGCACGTCATCGATTCTACTGAAGTACATTTTTAAATATCAATTAATTAATTCTCCAGTAGATTCGATTGGAATGATTTTCGGACTATTTGTGATTATCGTTTGGCCTAAAATAGCGAAAGCCTCGTAATTGCATATTAGAGACAACGAATTTTTCAAAGTAGGGCTATCAAGTTATATCCATCTAAATATTTCGCGTTCTCATTTATATTTTTAGCACGATGGCGATTCATATGCAAAAAAAAGATGGTTGTGATGTGATTTCGTTGTTTTAGGGCACGCTTCAGAACGAGATTCATAAACTTGTTTTACCTGATAAAATATCGCGTCGTTTAAAGATCAGATTTATAGAAATTTCTAATATTCCACGAAGTTTCGCAAAATTTTCTTCGAATTAGGCCTACGTTAATAAGAATCGAGATTCGAAAAAGCGGATAGTGTATTTGCCAAAGGTACTTTACGTCAATTATTTCGTGTAACGCTTCATTGTACGTGTGATCGATGATATCTCACCGTTTTGTCGTAAAGATAAATATGACTTATGATAGCATGGATGTCAATGTTTTCGAGACTAGCACGGTACAAAAAAGCTCACATCATGGAATACCGCAAAACTTTGTATAGCGACAGTTATAACTTGCACAAGGTCACCCAAAACGTGTAATATATTTGGATGTATATTTAGTCGAGGAACACTTGTTTGTGTCGAAAAATGCGAAGATGTGTGCATGAAAAATAATCATTCTCTCCGCTATACATAATTACGATTATTTCGTTCTTAAAAACCAATAAAACTTCATTTGCGTCCGAATTTTACGACGAGATAAAAGAAAAGCATCGATACGATAAGAGATTTCGTGAATGTAAAGCGAAATATTAAGATAATTTATCGTTAGTTCCTAGATTACGAAGAGTCCTATTACTTCGATGTGAATTGGCGGGTTATCGAAAAGATGGATAAAAAGATTAATTTATGAAAAGAAGCGAAGAAACGAATTTATATCCTATGAGGCTGCGGGACAAAAGACTTGAAAAAAAAAAAAATAGATAAAACGAGGCTGCGCCTTGAAATGATGTACTTTGATGCGAATTTCGATTGAAATGATGTTCGGTCGATTTATACTGAAAGTAGATCCAGCGGAGAGAAACGAGAAATTATTAATTGTGCGTAAATGCAGGGAACGATATCGCTTGATGATCTTCAAAACGCACTGGAAAGCACACTCATGATCTAGAAATAAATATTAAAAGAAAAAAAAAAAAAAAAGAAAAAAAAAGAGAGAGAGAGAGAGAGATTGAGGGATTAAAAAAGAAAAAAAAAGAAGAAAAAGAAAATGTGAAGAACGGCATGAAGAAAAACCACGTGGGAAGGCCCATTTGTCGCACTTGTTTGAAAAAAGAAAAAAAGAAAAAAATAAGATTATTACAAGAATGCACAAGTAGTAGTGTACACACGCATGTACTGTTTGTTACCGCGAATAAATATGCGAGTTTAAAATCAGGTTTGATTTATGTGTACACGGTGAGGGCCGAGCTTCGTACGAAAAGAAACGCAGGTGCTCGCGCGAGAATGATTCAATGATGGTCCTTTTTCGAATGAGGACGATCGAATTTCAACGCGTTCTACTTGCGCATCGGAAAAAAAAAATAAGGAAGAAAAAACAAAAAAAAAAGAAAGGATAATACAACATTTCTCCTGAGCACACGCGTTTTCTTAATACGGCGATATTGTTATTATATGAACGAACTCAAGACGGCATGGTATACAAGGCTAAGAACAAGACCTAAAATGGGGACATAATATTTTATAACTCAACTTTTGTACAGAATAAATAAATACTTGTACTGTGGACCAATATTTCTTTCATTTCATTCTCATTTATAGCCATGCACGGCGCAACGTTATTTAAACTTTACAATAATTGGCATGTGTAACTATTCCAGAAAAGAATAATTATGAACAAAAATTACTTCATAAATATATATTAAAGGCACTTAACTCTTTCACTCCAAACGATGAATATATATATATATGAAAAATGAACGCTCGGAGTACTTATATATACGCCTATCATAATATATCATGTTCTGCAATTTTTCGCACAAAACTTTACGATTAACTCAATTGGCAATAATAGATCTCATTTTTATCAATCATTGGTAACTCAGTCGATAACATTAGATACTCTTTTTACTGACCAAATAATTCAGTCGGCAATAATGGATTAAATATATAGCTAATAAATCGAGAACATCTTTTCATTTTTAAACCTTTGAAATAAATAAAAACATATTCGTCGGATGAAAATTATTGAAGAATATTGAAATCTGAAGAATTCCGCACTGAAAGGGTTAAACGTTTTTTATAATTTTATCATCTAAATTACAAATATTACTTACATTAAAAATATATTATTCCTAAGAGAAATTTGAAATGAATTATGTTATTTACAAAAAATAATTTTATTTATATATACTGCAATAAAAAAGTACGTCATATCAACTTTATAAAATAAAAAAATCAATCAAGCATCATAAACGCTTCGTACGTCAGCGTCAAGTTATAAACGATGCGTCCGTCCATGGCAAAAATATTATTTCACAAGCATACTAGACCGAAAGAGTTAATTTAAAATTATTAAAATAAAGTTTATATTATGTATCATTTATATAATGTGCTTGGAATATTATATAAATGATAAAATGTAATAATTAATCTCTTAGATAATATATATTATTTGTTTGTTTTATTTTGGACTAATGGTATAATAACAATACAGTTTCTGGCTTCTGGTATACGCCACCATCTACCAAGCTTGTGTTCTTGACCAACACCAGCAATCAGATTATTACCATCTGGTGTAAATACCAATGAGTTTATAAACCCGACTAATTTTATTGTAAATAATGGATGTAATGATTTAAACGAATCACCGCATCGCCACAATTTGATCTCTCCATTTTGAGAACCTAATAAAAGGAAAATATTATTACATTTAAAGTTGTGTAAATCGTAATAAAATAAAGATATATAAAAAATATTCAGAATTTTTAAATACATATAAGAGGTATCTTATAAAGAAATATTTTACCAGATGCTACTAAATCAGTATTCAAAAGCGTTGCTATGCTCGATATCCATTTTGGTTGCCCATTATTTTCATCTATTCCATGAGCCTCGGGTACACAACATAAAGGTTTTTTTTTTAGACAACCCCATACACATAATGAGCCATCATTTCCACCACTAAAAAAGTTCTCTTCATTGATAAGTTTAACGATATCTATGCTGCCATTATGACCATTAAAAATTAATTGCGATTCTTCTACAATTTTCCATATTCTAATAGTTCCATCATATCCACCACTAGTTATAGCGCGTTCTCTTGATAAAGCATCAATTGATGTGATACCATTTTGATGTCCAAATCTAAAAATAGAATTGTACCTTACACTTACACATTTATGTGGAAGTATTAATTCAAATGTATAATATATACCTACAAAGATTCAACATATGCCATATCATCTAAATTCCAAACTTTTATGCTTCTGTCTTCAGATGCAGAGTAAAGTGTGTGAGTATCTTTTCGAAATATTAAACCAGTTATTATACCTCTATGTCCTTGTAAATTTTTTAAAAGATTTAAACTTTCCCCACAAAATACTTTAATATCCTTACAACCACCATCTCCAACAACCTAATAAAGTATTATTCGTAAATTAAAAACATATGTTTAATATATAGAATATAGATTCTATATATTATATATTGTATATATTTACCAAAAATTTGCCATCAGTACTAATTGCCATACAATTAATTGATTTCATTCCATCCTGTCCTTTTCTTTTTCCTTTTATAATTTTTAATTTAGTTCTTTCCTTTAATGACCCTACAGTAATATTGAAATAATGTAAATTACATTATTTTTATAAATATTATTTAATTATTTTTTTTAATTAAAAATTAATAAAAACTTACATTTAACTAAACTACCATCTTTAGAACTTGAATATAAAATGTTCCCTTTATTAGAAATACATAAACACGTAATAGAATCTTTATGAGCTTTACATCTCAATATTATAGGATCTTCATGAGCAATATAACGTTCTGCTACAATTTTTCTAAGGCATCCCTTTTCTTCCAAGTATTCATCTTTTAATCTTCTTGCAACTGCTCCTTCCTCAAATTCTGCTCTATCTTTCTCTATATATGTATCAAAATATATTATAAATTAATAATGCACAGATATTTGTAATAAATATATTACAGTTCATCTATATTCATTAACCTTCTTCCTCAATTTGTTGAAGATATTTTTTAGCCAGCCTAATACGTTTTTCCTGAACGGTTTCTTCAGTTTCTGATTCACTTTCAAACTCTGGTGATCTTAGATTATAAAACAAAATTTATTTTTATTTTTTACAAAGTTATCATTGCTTTTTTTCTTTTTTTGTTTCTATTAATTTATTTTCAAGTACAACATATTTTTTATGGAAAATGTATAACATTGTAAGCAAAATGATTAACTATAAATTTTACTCACTTTTCATTTTCTTCTGCAAGTTCTTCGTCATTACTAGATATACTCTCATTGTCAGTGGGTATAGACTTTTTTACATTTTTTTTCTTTCCTTTCGAAGTAAATGTACTTTTATCTCTATTTTCAAAATGTCCATTATACTGAAATATAAACAAATAATATTTCAATAGATAAATGTCAAGAGTATGTAATATTTAATAATTAATAAAATTAATCAAATACTAAATTAATACTAAATACTAAATTAATTTAATAAAATTTCAGTTATTAACTCTAAATTCTACTAAGTATCAATGCTATACTCTTTGTTTATAATAAACTGCTAAAATAAGTCTAACCTATAATAAGCTATTTATTACAGATGTTTCATTTTGTCAATTTGTAAATATTAGTAACTTACTTTTCTTTTAGTTGCTCCCTTAACTCGATTGTTCCTTATAAAAAACGACATTTTAACATGTAAATAACGTAATGTTTAATTAACTTCAGATATAATTTTCTAAATTAATATTAAGTATACCGAGCACATGGTAAAAAGCATGAATGTTACATTCTTACTGTCGCCCTCTAGAATAGGCTAGAGGGCAACACGTATAAAGTATGCGGCGGGTAGACAAAATTTTATTAAGACTATTCAACTTTGACTGTATAATGACTTACACCAACGATGAGAATGAGCATAATTCTTGACCGATTTTGATGAACAAGATCTCATTTTAAAAACGAAGGTTTAGCTTTTGAAAAAAAAAAGATTTTGCTTTTTCGAATTTTTAAGAAAACTTTATTTTCTTTGAAAAAAATTGTTTTAAAAAATGATACTTTTTCAAGAATTTTTTTTATGGTTTCCTCTACTAAAAGTAATCTACTTTACATTATTACTATTATTACTACTATTACTATATAATAATACATAATGTAATAATATAATAAATATACATATATATATAAGTATTCACTAATTATTTTTAACAAAGCATTCGACAAAATTTTGTTTTTACACACAATTTATATACTAATTATTATATGTATCAATTATATTTATTATTATCGTACCTAGCATAGATCACTGCAAAATGCGCATTATTATAAATCTACATGAAACCGATCGTTAGTATGAGTGAGAGAAATATAACCAACCAACAAGCTTATACAACTATACGATAGCATTTCCTGCTTGCACTTGTAGTTCATATTTTATCCTACCTGTCGCTAAAGTCACACACACTTAGAGCGAAAGTAGTAAAAAAAATAAAAATTATGTTTTATGTGCAAATCTAACTAGTAAAATAATAAAGATAATAAAATTAACAGTGAAATAATAAAAGTAATAAAATTAATCATGTCACAAAAGAAAAAAGTGCTTATGATTTGTTTAGGTATTTTTATAAACCTCCTTTATTAAGTTGCTTCTTTTCCTATATAATGATATAATCTTCATATGAAAATTTTTTTAAGGAAATATTTGCCGTTCTCCTATCGCAGAAGCTGTTTTTGATGATCAAATTAAGAAAATTGGTTTAACTGATCAATGGGAAGTAGATAGTGCAGCTCTTATAGGATATCATACTGGTAAAAATCCTGATCGAAGAGCTATGTCTGTATTGAAACAAAGAGGACTTACTAGCTATTCTCATCGTGCTAGACAAGTATGTAATGTTTCTGATAAATAACATAAATATAAATTATTTTCATATATATTATATATGTAAATATCATATAAATATCATATATTGTTCCTATTTTTAGATCACAGTAGATGATTTTAATAAATATGATTGGATATTTGGAATGGATGTTGAAAATATTCGAGAACTAAATAAACTAAAACCACAAGACAGTAAAGCGATAATTGAATTGTTAGGAAAATATGATCCAGAAGGAGAAACAATAATACGTGATCCTTACTATGTATGTTATCATATTTTTTATATTCTTATATACGTTTATTTGAATAAAATTTAAACAATATAAATTGTTTTTATAGGATGATGATAGTACTGGATTTGAGAAGGCATATGATCAATGTGTAAGAAGTATTACAGCATTCTTACAGAAGCATAAAGGTAATTAATTTCTTATTTAATTGTATAATGTTTGTTACTGTATAATTTAATGTTTATTTTTTCAGATGTAAAATAATGACAACTTAAAAATAGAAAGAAAAATGTTTATTTTCAATTTATAAATATTCTGGAAAAAAAATTTAATATTTTACCTACAGATTAATATTAAAGAAATAAATAATTGTCAAAACAAAAAAAAAGCATCATTTATATCTGTAGCACATAATGAAAATGTCGCAATCTTCTTATACAGTCGCGATTCATAATTTACAAATCATTAATTTGTAATATAATATATAAGTAAATTCATTTGTGCTACACTCTATTGTTTATTATTCTTTTCTAATCCATTTGTACATTATTATTGTATCTCTAATTATATATTTATTTCACAGTTTCGCAGAATATGATAGGAAAAAGAAAAGTACTTATGGTTTGTTTAGGTAGGACTGCAATTATAATAATATAATATTATGAATTGATACTATTTTTCATTATAGGAAATAGTTGTCGTTCTCCAATAGCAGAAGCAGTTTTTAATGCACAAATTAAAAAAATGAATTTAGTTAATTATTGGGAAGCAGATAGTGCAGCAATTTTGGAATATCATATAGGTAATCCACCTGAACCAAGAGCCATGTCAACACTTAAAAAAAATGGAATCACTGAATACTCTCACAAAGCAAGACTTGTAAGAATATTTTATATAATTTAATAAAAAAAAAAATTTGATATTATAATTATTGCTATTTTAGATTACAAAAGCTGATTTTTACAAGTATAATTGGATATTTGGAATGGATAGTTATATAATGGAATACTTGTACCCGTTAAAACCAGAGAATAGTAAGGCTATTGTTGAAATTTTGGGAAAATATGATCCAAATGGAGAAATTAATATAAGAGATCCATTATTTGTATGTAATTTTTAATAATAGAATCTATAGCAGCATCTTATAAAAAAAAATTTTATATCTACATGCTATAATTTTGTTATAGGACAATGGTAGTCATGGATTTGAAAAAGCATTTGAACAATCTCTAAGAAGTATACAATCATTTTTGAAATATCATAAAGATAATTAAAATAAAACTTGGGAAATATATATTCAGAACCGGCTTAAATACTCTTAAACTGCATTATTGACCATCTATGTGCTTGCATGCATTGCATAATTACTAGCACAGCTTTGTATACATGTACTAAAAATATACATTGATGAATCATACTAATTATACTTGTTTAAAATATTAATCAATAAAATAAAATATATCCAAGTTACAATTTGAAGATAAATGTGAAAATATATAATATATATTAAATGAAATGAACTATGTGATATACAAAGAATAAAAATATGTGATGCATATATTTCTATTTAACTTTATAACCAGAAACATAAACTTCGATAATGTTACGATCATCTCCAGAATATATAAATCTTTGTAATTGTTTTTCTAGTGAATAACTCATGAAATCATCTAATGGCCCATTACTTACACTCATATCTACTATAAGTGCATCAAATTCTTTACCAGGTATTAAATTACCTACCTCTTTGTTAATCCCTAGTGCTAAAAAATTTAGGAACAAATTAAGGAAAAAGCATTAGATATTGAATAAAAATACTTACATATAGCGCCTCCTAAAGTAGCCATATAAAACACTTCTTTATAGTTGAGACTTTCATAGTCACTTTTAAACATAGCAAGGTTAGTTGATACTTGTAACGCAGATCTCATTGCGTCCACCATACTAGAGCTTTGTCCACCTGCTACATCTAGTAAATAATAAATGAATATTTATTTATATATTATTTATACAAATTTATCTATCATTTTACAGCTTTTAAAAAAATTCTCAATACCTGTCCCTAGTCCTATTTTAAGTCCTTTTGATTTTAATTTTTGTATGTCACACATACCACTTTTTAAACATGTGTTAGAAGATGGACAATGTATAATTGCTGTATCATTTTGTTTAATAAGCATTATTTCATCCTCTGTGAGGTGTATTGCATGAGCTAATATTGTCTAAAAAAAATTTTTTTAATCTAATTAAAAAATGACTAATTTTTATATACATTTTTTAATTTACCTTATTAGTTAGAAGTCCAGCTGCATTATATACACTAGCATAAGATGGATACTCCTTGAACATATTTCTTACAGCTTTAATTTCATCTATATTTTCAGAAATATGTGTCTAAAATAATGATATTTTTATAATTATGCTCTGAAATAATTAATTATTGTACAATGCATTATTTATAAATACTTGTATGTGAAGATCTCTTTCTTTAGCCAGGTTGCCCAATTCTTTCATCAATTCCATATCACAACTCAAAGCAAATCTTGGTGTAATGATTGGTTTTATAAGATGATTCTATAACAAAAATTTTTATAAAATATTGAGATTTCAATAATCTAATTACCATGATTAGTTAAGACCATTGTTTTCACTTACATCAAGATTTAAAATATCATTTATAAATTGTATAGTATTTTTTATAGATTCTACAGTATTTTCATAGTATCCATCGTTACGATATGCATTCATATTTACTTTTCCTATAAAGGCACGTTGGCCTAAATGTGCAACTGCTCGTGCAAGTTCCATAGATGCTTTTCCATATAAAGATGCAAAATAACATGCTGTTGTTGTACCCATGGCAAGAGTACGTTTCTGAATATTATGTAAATATATATATATATATATATATATATATAAATATAAATATATATATATAATATACATATATATATTTATAATATATATAAATATATACATACAATATATATATATATTTTTTTTTTATTTTTATTTTATTATTAAAAATTAAAATAAAAAATCTTACAAACCACAACAGTTTCAAATACATGTTTAGCAAATTCTTCATCGACATATTTTTTTTCTAAGGGGAAAGTATATTTTTCTAACCAATCTAATAGATTTTTATCATAACCCAAACCAAGATTAGGAAATTGAACTGCATGAGTATGACAATCAATAAGACCTGGCATTAAAAATTGTTTGTCATTTAAAAAAGTGACATGATCACCTATAAGTGCACTAGGTTCTGGATTCACAGTAACATCAATGATCTATAAGTTTCAAATGTTATAAAAATTATAACAGTTGTTTATATATGTTTATTTAATTTAAATAAAATCATGATAAATATTTATTGATATTTTATAACACATCTCAATTTATACCTTGCCATTTTCAACCATTACAGCAGCGCGATCAATCATAATTAATTCTCTTTTTTCGTTAGAATGCACCAAGGCACCAACGAATATTTGACGCTTCATTTTAGAGAATTTTTTAAAATGTTCAGAAATGATTTAAACTGAAAAATTCTTATAAAAGTATTATATATTTAAATCATTTTTCTTTTGTGTGTTATTTTTAAGAAAAAATAAAATTATCGTCAAAAAGAAAAATAAAAATCGATTTTCGATACTAATGCATCAGTCGTCTTATTTTATTGAGTCATTCCTACCAATAATTACATTGAATTAAATATTTTTGAAAATATATATCTTCTATGATCCATAAAGTTTTGCTCGTTTATTTGTCCAATGTTGGCGATTTGTCAACAATGGCAACGTTGTCGATTTGCATTCGGAAGAGCAGAGAAGTGATGCAATCTTTATTTAGCGTTTACAATGATTTATATTTTTAAAACATTTCTAATTAGTTATTAATTACATATAATTAGAATTTTTGATATATTGTGAAATAATAGAAAAATATCTATATAATGATCTCAATAATAATTTTTGGATTGGCAAAAAAGAAACTTTATCAATATATTGATCAAACATAAACACCATTGTAAAAAGATCTCTTTTTACGAAATATTTGTTTCGTGGAACTAATTTATATCAATTAACTTTAATCGTGATTATTTCTATTTTTTTTTTTATTTGCGAGTGCGATATTAAATATGGAAAGTAAAAAGGAAAAGAAACAAGAAAAACTGAAAAAAACAGAAAAAGTAATATCCGATCCACATCGCGAATATTTGGATATGGATACCGATGAGGAAGGCCATGAACGACGAGGTAAAATAATGAACTCTTTCATCAAAATTTATAATTTTTCTATATTATACAAAAATATCGAGTTCATTTATATTATATAAAAAGAAAAAAGAATTTATCGCGTAAGTAATTTATATTTTTACATCAAGTTATAAAAAGTTTATCTAACTTTAGATAAATATAATGTATTTTAAATAATTTAGTCAACGGATATTTTATTATATAATTTATCGATCGAAAATTTGTTCAAAAATTTGAAAATAATTGTAATCGAAATACCTGCTGCTATGCCAATATGTTTCCAGGAACAATAACAATTTTACCTGCTTTAATGAACGTGTGAAAAAAAATAATTATCGATTATATTTAAAAAGAATTAATTGACCTTATGTATTTATGGATATATAAATTGCAGAAACTTCCGAGAGTGAATATGAGACTTCTCCGGAACCAGAAAATCCTATTTATACGGAGCAAGAACTGATAACACTAGTCAGTATCATAATTGCTCGTTGAGCGGGAATATTTAAAATTATCAATCCTAATCAAATGCATGTACTTTCAACTAATAGAACTAAAACCAACTAATAAATTTAAAAAATTTATTATATTTTCCATCATAGAAGTATGTTTTCTTAGGTACAATACGTAAAGGATTTGACAGTACTTTCTCATCTTAAAGAATCGGATTGGAACGAAAGCTGCTACGAAGTTATACGAGAATATTTTCAATGCGTATCTCATACTATATTGATTATATTTTTCAATCGAAATAAATTGATGGCATCTTTGAATCTGTCCGATTGCAAGGAAGTAGATCTTATGTATTTTTTAAGATCACCATTACAAATCTATACAACTGATAATTTTCTCAAAACTATTTTCTGTGGGAACATTAACGAAGATAAAACAAAATCGTTTTTTAAGTTTCTACAAAATATATACGCTCCTGTTGCTTTAAATAGTAACGAGTGGCCAGAAAGTACTTTTTTTTATTATATCATTTTATAATCATAAATTAATTTATGACTTATATTGTATATATTTTTTTTTTATTATATTCTAGTTATACAGAATGATCTCTATTTGAACTTACACAATCTTTTAATGATTTTAAATGAGCAACTTTGTAAATCAATAAATCGAACGATTTTGTATGTACCAAGAGAACGTTTACCTGAATTACGTGGATTTCGATTATTTTATGAGCATGATTCTGTAATTAGAGAAGAAAAAAATACTGTCATACAAATGCAAGAATTTCATATAAAAGAATTAATTGGAAGATTGGAAAAGATAGTCAGATGTTGGATAAAACAAATACATGCGGCTTTAACTTCTACGGTTATTAGAAAAAATATCGAAAGTATAATGGATGAATGTAATCATTGGAAAAATATTTGTTAGTGCAATCATTCTTATGATTATTAAGAATATTTAATATTTTAGAATTTATTATAGTATATTATAGAATTTATTTTTAATTAAAATCATATTTATATGTATATTTTTAGATGATAATTTAAATTCTTTAAATAATCAATTATCGAACAATGAAGTCCAAGCTATTATCCAATTATTAAAAAATATGAATTCATCTAGTGTAGAATCATTTCCAATATTTATTAGAAAACTGCAGGAAGCATTGATGGAATCTTCATCAAATTTAATATACTTAAACATTTTATCTGAATATTGTACAAATTTATGTATCTCGGATAATATAGAAGTTAACGTGACGAAGATATTACTCCTGATACTACTCATTTGGATGGAATCACCTTTTTATAGTATAACGTATATATAAATACTTTATTAAAATATGTACAATAGAAAATTATGTGATATTAATATAAAATTTATATTTTTATAGAAATAATATAGGGTCCCTTTGTCGAGCATTAAGTACTCAATTAATATCTCAATGTCAAAGATATATAGATATAGAAACTGCAATTAAAGGACATGCAGAAAGTGGGATACATATGCTAAAGAAATCTATATCTACCTGTCAAATGTACAGGAAAGTTTATGAAAAAGTAAGAATACATCTTTTTTCATCTTAAAATTAATATTAAAATTTAAAATATTTTATAGTTTGTAAAAAAGATAGCAACTTCTATTAGTCCTTATAGAATATGGGATATAGATGAAGAAATGGTTTTTAATAGTATTAATGCATTTATACAAAGATGTCATGATATTATCGAAATTTGTAATGCACGAATTATTTTTGAAAGGTAATAATTTAGGAAATCTAATATTTGACTTCTTCTACCGTGTATATTATTATTATATTACCATAGGTGTGCTAAAGAAGAAACATTTGGAGGTGCAAAAGGAATAGAATATGAAAAATGTTGTCAACAAATTGAAAATCTATTTTATGATAATTTGAACAAAATTATTGCAATTCAAGAAAATATATTAAACATTAAAGATACTAATTGCAATATAGCTATACATAAATTTAAAATAGCTATAATACAATTAGAAAATATGATTAAAAATTTAATTAACCATATTTTTGAAAACATTAAAAACATTGATGAAGGCATTGAAGCAATATATGCTTTTGAAAGATTTAAGTATCGATCGTGTTTAAAAGATTTAATATATGAAAAATGGATACAGGTGAAGTATTTACAAGATAGAAAATATATGGTTGTTATTTAATATATTTATTTCTTATAATTTTGTTATGTGCATAGATGTGGAAAATATTAGATGAAGAAATAGAAATTTGCAATATAACTAAAATTAAAGAAATAGGTGCATATCATCCGCTTATCAAATCCTTTTCTAAGTACTTGAATGTGCAATATACAAAAAAATATTATTTAAAAATGCAATATACAAAAATGATAAATGCATCTTATTGGTTGGTAAATTGTGTAGATGAAAGGTGTGTGCAATATTGTGAATTCATGGTTTCAATTGTATTTTTTATAGAAAAGATATAGATATTAAATTTAAATAATTTTAGGTATTCCCTGGAACGTTATAACATTGTAATAGATCAGTTAGAAGATGCTTATACTAATAATAAAATAAGAAGCTAATCAAACGATTTAAAGAATTCAATAAAAATGAATGCATATTAACTAGCAAAACAGTTGATCATTTAAATTTAACAATCTATATAAAATTCATACTTCGTTTTTTTTTCCATTTACTTATAATGTCATTTTGAATATAATTATACATTGATGATAAAAATATAAATATAATATTTATATAAATTGCAGATTCTAACTATTCTTAAATAAGTATTATAGAAAACTATTATGTATACTTTATGTATACAGAAACATATAAAGTATTAATAAAAATATATCTATAATATTACATCTATATATATTTATACCTTAAATACATCTTACTATATAAATTAATATGTCATGAATTCTCTTGTTTATAGAAAAACATTATAAATATTTTACTTTTTGATATTAATTTGAGTTTATTGTTACGTTTGTAGGAACTATATTAAGAAATTGCATTTAATTATTAATAAGAATCTTTTCTTTAAAAAATCTTATTATTAAATTAGAATAAGATATATCTCTATATTTATTAAAATAGTTTATATATATATATATATATATATATATATATATATATATATTTATATATATATATATATTCTATTAGGCACTATGCACATATTTTCACATAAAATTGATTTCTATTAGCAGAGCTAATATCTCCTATATATTATGATTCGTATTATTATAAATTTTATGCATCTTATCCAATATATAAAATATGTTCAATTTAGAGATTAATATATTTTTATAAAAAATATATTGATCTTTTAATAAAGAAATAATTCTCGTATGTAATATACTGAATTATCATATTCTTATTTTGCTTATTAAACATATAAAAGATTCCTATACTTATAAACATTTTGTTAGTTTTAATTATCAATTATAATATTATTTTGGCATAATATAATTATAAGAAAGTTTTAAATGGCAAACTTTTGCTTTTGTTATTTATCTGAACACAATTACTATACTTTCTTACCTATTTATTACTGTAAAAACTGGACTTTCAAGGTAATCTTTATAGTTTAACAACTCACTATCTTCTGTGAAAGAATTAATATCCGAGTTATTTAATTGCTCTGTCCGTGCAGGTGGTAATAAAAATATTAAAGATATAGCTATTACTATGTGCCATGCACTATGGACATACTGTAATAAAATAAATTTATAATTTGTAAGATTTCTCTAAATAAAATCATTACATCAATTATATTTACATACTTGGTAATTTGCTTCTGTTTCAACTAAAAAAAAGAGCAGTAAGCCTACACCCGCTAATAATAAGCCTACTAACAGCTTTGATAATCTGTTAGGTTTCTTCCAACTTCTTAGATGGTAACTACGATATATATATGTTCCAACCTACGGGATTTTTAATATAATTAAAAACGTATCATTATAATATTTACAAATAGATAATTAAGATATGTAATAATTGACTTACTGGTATTATAACACCTATTGTCAAAGGCATCAATATACTAATTAAACTTGTTCTATCAGATTGCACTTCAAATGCAATTAGAAGTACACCAAGCATATGACAAAAAGATACGAAACGAATGGGTAATCTTGCCATAGCTACAAGTGTTACCCATAAAGCTAATATACTTGAAAAAAAATCGCAGTATTGTAAAACCTAAATAATCGTTTAGAAAAAAAATGGTAATTTATTTCTATATCTCTTTGTTTAAATATATAATAATATATAACTAAAAAGAAACTTACTTCAAATTTAGTAATACAATAATTTGTAGTACGTTGATCGCAGGCATGGTAAAGAGTAGAAGATAACATAGTAGATAAATAAATCAATCCTTCTGTATAAAGTTCTCGTTTTATAGCTAAATATATAGCTGGTATGAAGAATCCATTGCTTAATGTCAACATTAATGTTGTTATAACAGCAGAAGTACCAGAATTAATAGTAATTGTATCAGTACAACCCCATCCTTTATATCCTAAGTATGTAATAGATAATTAATAATTCATACTTTTAAATAAATATAAATTTCCTTTGCATATTTTACTTCGTGATAAAGTTGTTACCTTCAAAACAGTCACAAGCCGTATAGACAAGAAGATTTCTATGAATTTCTTGACAAATTCCATGATGACCACATGAATTATTACCAGAAAATACACATTGTCTTGTATGAATATTCAATGATACTAAAATTTCTTCCATTTCACAATTTACAGCATGGCTATAAATAAAATTATTCGCGCATAAAATGACTATACCATAAATATACGTACACACACAAAATATAATCTTACTCATTTATGTAACATGTGGCTTGTAAAAAAATATACCATGTATCTGGTTGTGGATATGGTATTAATATACTTTCATCATGTTTACCTGATGAAGACAAGTTCATAAATAGTTTTTTATCTTCACATACAACTTTGTTTTCTAGTATATTAGGTGCATGACCTTTTTGAATACAAACAGCTACAATGATTAATTGTTTTGTCATCGTCTATTAAAAGTAATGATAATTATATATTATATAATCTACACATAAGTATGTTTTCAATAATTTTTGTAATATCAGTTTCTTACCTCATACATTTCTAAATGAATATTAATTTCAAGAGTACCTCCAATATCTACTAAAGGTAAAATATTAAACTGTATTATTATTGGATATGAATCCATTAATACCAACCAAGGAGTTAACCATTCTCTTCCCTGAAGAAAATTATATATATAAAATAATATAATTTTTTATCTGTTATTAAGTGTAATGTTATTAAATTAAAAACATACTTGCAATAAATAACTTGAAGAAAATACTTGAGAATGTTTAACTCTAACAAGTTGATATCTTGGAAAGCATTTATCCTCTACATCAGAATTTTCTTTCCGTACATAAAACTGACTTTTATGTAGATCTATCAAATCATTAGATGAATTTATGTTACGATTCCAAACATCATAGTTTTTATGTTCTTTCAGATTTTTTGTTGATATTTGTGTCACTTTTTCAGTAATTGATGACACATCTAAGTACTGTTTTATAAACTGTTTCTCTATTAGTTTTATAGGACATTCTACAACGATACATTTTATTTTATAAAATTAAAAAAAAAAAAAATTAACTCATATTTATAATTACAGAGTACTTACCTGAAATACTAACTTTGACGTTAAATTCTATTATACTATCTGAAATAACTAACAAATAGTAATAACTATCTTCATATGGGGAAGATATTGTAAATGTATAAGAATCTAGCATGGTCAAATTTCCAGTATTACTTGAAGGAGTATTATTATATATTGGTAAAACACGACCTTGTAAAGCTATATTTTTAATACAAGGTTTATGTATATTACGAAAGGAATCTACAGTAAAATTACATCCCCAAATGTAAACACGTAAAGTTGATATTCCAGATGGCACATATATCCTGAAAAATATATAAATAAATAACTTTCAAACTTTTATCATGTCTTAATTCATTATATATACTTACTTGTAATAAGAAGATGTTTCTTTTGTTTTCAATGTGGTTTGATAACCTACAGGTATATTTTCTATAGAATTTGCTCCTACCCATAATGCTACAGAACCTATGCTATAATGACATTTGTGAAAAAGGCCCTGAAATATTAAATTAAATATCTTTTAATATTTTATCTCCTTTAATGATTATGAATGAAACTGTACAAGCATACTTGTTGTTGAACTTTTTTATCCCAATGAGATAAATATGCTGCCACAAACCAATCCCCAGCTTGTGGTCCATAAATTGGTATAACAGCCATACTCTTTGGTTCAAAAAATGTATCAGTTGAAATTACCAGTGTATCATTATTTAATGGATACATATTTGTTGGAAATGTCATATTATCAATAGATAATACAGGATAACTACCCCATCGTAAATGTCTACAAGATATTACTAAAACTTTTATCTTGTCCTAAGTTCTTTTTTTTTTTTTTAAATAAGATGAATTAAATAATGACATTTACAAATGGAAAAGGCACTAACATATGCACCTTCCTTTGGGGACAATTTGGTCCATCCATGAATGCTGCAAATTGCCATGTTGCTCTAAGGATTTCCTTTGGAACATTGAAATGAAACATAGATACATCTGAATAACTTTCAAAGGATTGAAGTATACTTTCTTGACTTGCTTCTGGTATTATACACAATGTACCTATATGTTAAATTAAGTTATTCAAATAATAAGAATAAGTAACATAATCCTGCATATCACAGATTATTTATATTATGATCAATGTTGACTTTGGAAACGAACATACCTGGAAGAAAAAGTAATAAATATACAAAGAAAAAGTAAAGATAATAGAAATGTTGACTTGAGAAAAAACGTTTCGAAAATATGGCAATCATTATATAAACATAAAGTATAATAAATATTAATATTTAACAAAACATATATAGAATTAAGTAAAAATTTTATTATGAATACTTTATAAACATAATTATAATTTCGTGTTTACAGGTAAAGTTATGTAGAAACCTTCGTCGATTCGCTACTAATACTGATGTTTGCGCTCTCTAGTGTTAAAATGTAAATTGAAAAAATTCTATCACATTCGAATGTATCATATTTATATTTATCAATTTATATTATTTTTTTTTTAATAAAAATTTATTCTTATAATCAGTAATAAATTATAATTCATAAAGATATATTTAAAATCTCATGAACAAAAAATGATCATCGAAATTATGATATTACGAAATTATTTAAAACGTAAAAAGTTATTCAATCGATCAACGATGAATATATAAAATGAAAGTTTTTTAAATTTCGATCTCTTCTTCAGCAGTTGGTAAAATAACATTAGTGAATGTAAGTGGTTTTGATTTATCCTTTTTACAAAGTAAAACTTGTACCTTGCCAGAAATTTTATTTGTTAACGTAGCATCAATTGTTATCGGGATTGGTATACCACTGGGTAATAAAGGCAAGTTGACAACACGTTGATTGACTTCTGTATTTTCTCCTCTACAAACGATAAATAATCCAGTATCGGATAATCCATCCGAAATATTCGTGATCAATATTTGAATTCGATAATTGGGTCCTAAGCCAAGGACATTAGCCTCCAAAGATATTGGATCAAGTCCTGTATTTTCACAACCACTTAACAGATCAACAGCATTTTTGGCAATAGTTAAACGTAGTCGTAGAAAACCTTGTTGAAAAGTATTATGAATTTTCTTCGCTTCAGATCTTTCTCTTATTGTTTGCTCCACGAAAAGACGCGTTTTTTTTGGTATTACAAATTTTGTACCACCGTTTGGTGTCACGGAGAAAATTGTATTATGTATACTAAAATCTGCAGTTCGCTTTAATATCTTCACACAGAGACCACCACTGACTGTTACCATTGCCATTGTTCGTTCTTCTTGTCCCATCCGTCCATACTGTAAAATATCCGTTTTTTTTTTTATATAAAAGTTAGTTGATGATTATTATATACAGTAGATAAAAAGATACCTTTATTGCAGACACTGGTTCCATTGTCTTAATCGTGTCCACATGGTGTTTACCATCGTATATTCGTACACCATATCCAGCTGTACTGACAGCTAATAAAGAAAGTCCGCTTTGTGGTACTGGCAAACTTGCCATGTCTAATATAATACCTGGTACATTGATGCTCCATATTTTAATACCCTGTAAAAATAATATATGCATGCTTATATATATTCTTTTTTTCCTTTATTTTTTTTAGAGATCTTTGTTTCTAAATTTTTACTTTTTTTGAAAATCCTAATAATGTTCCATCCATAATAGCGACTGCTGCACCATCACCGTTAAGAACAGAGATGGTAACAATCGGAGCTTCAAGTTTTTCCCAGAGTTTCACAGGACTTCCTCTTCGTATCGCTCCTATATTTCCGTCTCTGCCGATCACCATAATTCGTCCATCGCCAGCCCATAAACCAGTAGTGGCAAATGATACAGGAGACCACTTTAGAAGATGCTTGTCCATAATGGTAAATGCTCTAAAAGAGGCGAAGAAAAAGTGAAAAATTGAAATGATTCTGTAAAAAATTAATGCATTTTTCGTACCTCGGATCCAATACGAAAATCTCTTTGTTTTCTGTACCGATTATAAGACAACTACAAGCGGGATCATTCCACGAATCCTTCCTGATAACACCAAGGGTAGTCACTGCATTATTTTTAATCAGAGGTATTCTTCTGTATTGTTCCGCAAAACTCATTCGTAAATTCACATCCATCGATAAAAATTTTAAGGTACGCGGAGAAATTGCTGCTGCCCCAAGTTCTTTCAATAATGAGTCTAGATCATCGGCCAATGTCAGCACATTTAATTCTTCTTCGAGACCAGCCTTATGCCATATCTGAAGAAAGCTCGGGTATATCGTGCAACGCAAATAATATTAATGGTACAGGAAAAGTATATAATTTTAATCTTAGACGCACTTCTCGCTCTTTAGGATGAGCTTCGAGATGCGGTAAGCAATATTTAAAAAATGGTCGTAAATTCTTAAAGATATAAACGCTAGAACCGGCTCCTGCAGCTAATACGGCTGATTTGGGTTCACCATTTTCTGTATAAAATCCAGCGACTCCGCAAGGTGGATCTACCATATTATGCTCCGTTATTTGATCACTCCCTTTGTAAACGCGTATCTTAAAAGAATAAGAAATTATTCTTCATGAATAAAAAATCACAATATCAAAAGGATTGATGTTAAATACCTTTGCTGAATCAGCATTAACGGATCCTAAATCGGTAGACACAAGACGCGCATCTCCATCGCCGATTGCATCAAGCATATCGAGTCCACCAGGAAGAGTATAAATTTTAGCGCCCGGTTCCCAAATGGCTTCCAACCACCTGCTTGTTCCAAGACCACTGCCTGAATTGTGATCTGCCCTAAAAATAATGATAATTAAAAAATACAAATTTTAACATTATTTTAAAATATGTGAGTTATATAGAATGTAAAAATTGATATATCTTTACCTTAATCCGTGCATATTGAAATTTTCGAATATTTTAATAAATGTTTACTTTTATTTTATTAATCAAATTGAGTTGCGCTTAACAAAAAAAAAACATAAATATATATGTTTATATAATCTTAATATTTTTCACAATGTTATTCGCTCTAAGTAATAGCGTTTAATATCACGTGCTATGTTTGGCTCTACGTATCCATGGGAATCTTTTACTAATATACGGCATATTAAGGTATCAGTAGGCATGCGCTCTTTAACATATTTCTTCAACTTAAAGCGATTAATTTATGAATCCTATAAAATTGAAAAAAATTTATAACCTCCGGAACAAAATAAATTAATAAACAGAAAGATATAATAATGAGCACTTTCGGAATATAAAAATAGAATTATTTTGTTACAATTTCTTATACTGCAACAAATAAAAAAAAAAAAAACAGTAAAATGTCATATTAAAGAACAACCATTCGTATATGTAAAGTATATTCGAGATAGTTTTATTCAATATACATATATTAAGATGTATTTAATAATTAGAGAAATGTTTACCTACATCGTAACATTGTTATCATTAGCATCATGTTTATTTTCCTTCTTAATTGAATAGTTACCAATCAACCTTCAGAGCTTTTGTTAACTACACGAACAGTAAACTCTTGAAAATTTGTAATGGCGATTTGTTTTTTCTTTCAGAAAGTCTTACTCTTATATTTTTCTTAATTGACAATGGAAACAGAAACTCCGTTATCTTATTACAGATTTAAATCAAGACCAACAAATAGACAATTGTGGCCACAAAATAAAGAAGGCGAAAGCTTGTTTAAAGATTGGATTAATCGTGTTAATGTAACGTTAGATCCATGGGATAGAATCGATTCTCCACAATTCATAGACTTTTTTAATATACCTGAACTCTCTGATAGATTTTTTGGTATACATTTATATCTTTTTAGTATAATAATTAGATTATCTTTTATTCTTACGCAAATTTATTAATGCGATTATAAATATTTCTTTATGTTAAGAAACGAAAGAAGAAGAAAAACCATTGCAGCACAGTGCAAATGCGCAGAGACTTCCTCGAACGAGTGATTATAACGATCAAAATGAATTAATTAAGTAATTGTCATGCTAAATTTTATGACTTTATATCTTACGAACGATACGTCATTTGTTGTTTTTCTTTTAGCTTACTAGACAATTTTTCTTTGACGAAAGAAAAGAAACAACAATTGGATAAAAACATTGATATCGATAAAGAAAATCGAGGGGAAAAGAAACGAGATTTAACAAGACAAGTATTAATTTAGTTTCAAAAATATTTGACTTGCTTTAATTCAATTAATATTTCAGTGTATTCAAATGAAACATAAAACAACGACAAGAGAAAACACAAAAAAAATAACAGAGAAAGTGCATACTGCCGTGAAGTCTTTTAATTTTGATTTGCGAAATAAATGCAAACAACAACAAGAGGTAAAATATATTTAAAAAGCATGTTATCATTTTTGATAATTTTTTATTAATAATTATGTTTTATTTAAAATTTTTATTATCATTAAGACATTTAAAGAAGACAAAAAATTGCATGTATTTGGAGCGAAACCTGTACCTAAATTTATTAAAACATTGGTACCATCAAAGTCTAATTATACAATTGGTGAAAAATTCAAAGAATCGAATAAAATAAATTCCGAAAAATCTATTAAAAAATGTCCGGAAGTACGTTATCATGTAATATTCTAATATTATTTGCATGTTTTTACTATGTATAATAAATACTTTCTTTGTTTGCGAAAAGATTTGGAAAAAGCCGCCATTCTTACCTAGTCTTACTAAAAGAATTTTAAAAATACCAGAAACTCCACTTCTTTTGACAGCAGTTAGAGCTAAAGAAAGAAAACGCTTCGAGGAAAAATTAAAAGAAAAGGAAAAGGAAATGGTAATGTTAAAATGTTTATTTCTGTATATCATTTATGTATATCTTAAACGTTCATTTAACATAATTTTACATTCATTACAAGAAATAACGATTCACATATCTTCAGATATACTTACATATAATTTTGTAATTGACAGATTGCTACAACTGAGAAGAAATTAGAAAAAGAAGAAATTGCTTGTTTGAGAACCAAAAATTTTCATAAAGTTCAACCTATTCGCAAGTATAACTCAAATTTTACGCGAATCGAGAAACGTCCTCTTATTGAACCACTAGATCCATTGAATCATAAACGCCGACGACGCGTTTAACAAATTTTTAAAATAAAATAAAAGAAAAGAAAAATAACAAGCATTTGCTTTGTTTTCTTTTTAACATATTTTCTCATTGAAATTTACATTAAGCTTGATATAATATATTTTTATTGCTACTTTAATGTTATTTTAAAAAAGGGCAATTCTTTTTTTGTAAAATTTGTATAAATACCGTTTGTATACATATATTTAAAAAAAAAATTCATAAACGAATATATTTTTGGCTCATTAAAATAGTTCAGTATAAATTTTTCTATTATAGAGACATAAACATCAATTGTTGAGGATTAACAAATATGATGATTTGAATGATAAAAATTGTAATCGTAACAATATAATATTTATCATACTTTACCAACAATTACTTTCGTACTATATATATTTCTTAATTATTATTATTATTACTTACCAACTTAAAGTGGTGAACAAAATTTTGCTTTTGTATTTATTTCTAGATTTCATTTTATTAAAATTTGTCCATGTTAATATTATAAAAAATAAGTAAGTATGTTATCAAGGAAATTGTAAATTAAGACGTATTCATTAAATTAACAATTTGTACCCTATACTTAGAATCAGAAAATAATTGTCTCCAATTCTCATGCATTTATCGCTAAAATTTTTTGTGGTCAGAGAGAGAGAGAGAGTATTTGTCCCTTTTATTAAAGATATTTAGCACTATTAACAAAATTACATATAATTAATCTTTTGATCTAATAAATCTGTTTATCTACAATTAGTTAAAAAATATAAATTCAAAGATTGCAGAAAGTCTAACATTTATAAAGTTAAGCTTAACATTTAACATATATCAGAAGATTACTATATTGTTAAATAAGAATAATATATACTTGAACTTTATATGTAAGAACAATATTTAAAAATAATAGGAATACAAAACGATATATTATATAATATATAATACATTCATCACTAACGCAAATTAATACTGTTTCGTGAATTTGCAGATATGTAAGAGCTTTAAAAATTTTTTTGAATTGTCTCTCAGATGGCATTATTTGTAAAGAAATCTATTTACCCACATATATATATATATATATATATATATATATATATAAAATCACATGAATGAAGTTATTAGAGAATGAAAAATAAAGTGTATAGAGATCAAAAAGATAAATAGAGCTATACGCACTCTGTTATTACCTGCATGCAATAATATATATGTATATGTAGTATGTGTATTTGTGCGCGTACATACGCAAATATGTAAACCACATAAAGAATACAGGAAGCCCAATGAATGTCGACGACAGACAAACATATAAGTAACAAACAGTCTTATTAACTACGTGAACACAGCCAATGACACATTAATTAGATAAGATCGTAGTTCCATATAGTTCACAATGAAGGTAACACATGATCAATAATATTATGTTTTGAGATTTATGAATGTAGATATTCAATCAAGATCGTCCATTTGTTTTCGTCTATTATTCCACACAGTGGTTTGATTAGTATCTAAATAAAGTAATGCCGATGTTGGTGATGGAGGTAACGATGAAGAGGGAGGTCGTGCAATAAGAATTTCCGGTTCACTACAATGAAATTGACATACTGTGCTAGAAGTACTTAATGTTGATTCAGATAGCATTCCCTTTCCTTTCCCTTTTTTTATTATTTTACCGTTATCTCTATTTGTTTCTCCTAAATCTTCTGATTCTTTTTTATGAAAACAAAATAATAATTTTCTTCCCCTACAATTAATATCAATCTGATTAATATTAAAACCAAAAAATAAATACTGTTGTTTATATGTTCGATATGTTACCTCGGATATTGAAATTGAGCAAAATGCGATGATGGACCAATGACTGCTAACATTGGACATAAAAATAATGTAGCATAAATCCAACTTATTCCCATCACAAGTAATAGAAATACACCAATTTGTATATATGCCAATACATCAGAGGGTAACATGAGAGCACCAGCAACTCCACTTGTTAATGTTGCCATCAGTGTTGGACCACCCATTTGATCTAATGCTGCTTTAACTTTATCAATTCTTTGTTCTGAATTGCATGCTCGATAACTTACAGCATAATGTAAACTGAAATCTACTGCCAAACCTTGAGAAACATAAAATTCTTATATCCTTTCATATATATTTAATATTATCTATTTAATATATAATTAATGTTACCTATGGCAGTAGATACTGCAACACTTTCAAGAACATTAAGTTTCCAGCCGAGAAGAATTAAAGCAGCAACAGTCACTATAATGGCAGCACCAATTGTTATAATTGCATACATACTAACTAAAGGATTTAATGTTACGAATGCTAATACTGCAAGTGCTAAAATCAATGAAACGATCATAGCCCAAATAGTACCCTCGTGTAATGTACGTTGTAATTCATAAAATTCCAATTTACTAATGAACCATCCTCCTTGCATAGTTATAGGTGCAGTTTTTAATTGATCTTGCATCCAAGTCTCTACCTAAAAATATAATAATTATTCGAGGAGCCTTCTTAAATACAACATCGAATATAAAACTTACTTCATGAAAGAATTGATCCATATGAAAATATGAAAGACTGTAGTCATATTTACTATCATATTCTACAATTAACGCCTTTATTTCAGGCACTGGTAATGTCAAAGATTCTGTTGCATTTGTTGGTTCCAATGAAGTTTGTACTGATTCTTTCAAAAATTTTAAACCTGCATAGACTTGACCACCTCGATTCCACAAATAAGAAGGTGTGCGATAGAGTTGTGCAGCAGCTTCTGCTGCACACTGTTTTAATACATTTGGCTTATAAGGAAAAGAACTTCTTTTACAACATGGTGAATAATTAATATGCGTGTCTACAGGATCTTCACAATGCCTTCGCATCCATGTACGTAACGATTCAATAAAACAATTAGGAAGAAGTGCTCCTAATGTATTACGATAAAATGGCTGAATTCGTAGATTACGGCAGAATTGTTGCAACCATAATTGAGATTTCGGGTGGGACACGTCGAAAGATTCATCCCATACTAACATACCCTTTTTATCAGGATTAAGATAATCTCCATTATCAACTGGTTTTATACCCCAAACAAATCGTAGTGGTAAGATCTCATCACCATCAATCTAAATTCATATAATTTGCATCTTTATAATAATATTTATATATTGAATATTATTTATTTAATTTATAATTTATATTATTTATAATTATTACCATTTCATGTTTTTCGAACCAGAATTGTCGAGAATAAATTAAATCATATTGTTCAAAAGGGTGAGAAGTTTCAAATAACTGGAAGTCAGGAGTATCAGGTAACTGCAGTCCTGGATAGTGAAAAACTACTATGCAACCAGCTGTAGCTAAGGCACCCAAACTCACAAGCCAAAACCATCTTAAACTAATTGCAATTTTTGTGAGGAAGACACTAAATATAAGAGCAATCTTATCTGTAAATGTTCGCATAGGACGAATAATTTTCCTGGTAATAAAACTCGCAGGTGACAAAGTAGTTATTCGACAATGTTCTGATACTACTACACATGCTGGTAGCCACGTGATCATTAAAAAAAAATTAGTAATCACAGTCATTCCTGAGAACAAACTATATATCACAATTATTAATATTACATAAAAATCTAAAAGAATGCATTTATGACATATCAATATAAATATTTTGTTACCTAAAACAGTTAATGGCAGTGACATTACTGACAATAGATGCAAAAAATGCTACTGCTGTTGTTAATGAAGTAACAAACATAGATGGTATTGCATGTTTCATGGTTTCCTGTACTAATCGTGCTAATCCACCATTAGAAAGTTTTTGTTGCTTACAACACTCCCAAACTTTGCAATATATAAATGCATCATCTGCACCAATTCCTTCAGAAAACATACTTATCACAATTATATATGATATTTAATTTTTATACAGAATTAAAAATATTAAAAGAAACTTACCAACTGCAACCACAATTGCAAGCAAATTCATAAATGGGAAGAATTTAATTTGCAAAACAAGAGTATATACTGCATATGAAATGCCAAGACTAAAGAGTACTGCAAAGAATGTAGTAATAGTTAATAATAAAGATCCAGTATATATCCAAATGCATAGAGTCACAAAGCCAAATCCAGTTAGAACCAGACTAAAATCCGATACCAAAAGACGATCAAATAATGTACTTTTTAATCCTAACTGCATGCCTTGTACTTTAAATTTCCCATAACTCAGATCATTATTATTTAACTCTTTGTAAAAATCTAAACTGGCTGAACTAGCTGCAATTGGGAGAAATAGCATTACAGATTGCAATGTTGAATGTGACTTATTTAAAGATTGTTGTTTCTGCAAAGAAATATATAATTTAATATAAAATTATTGCTCCTGAGTACAAAATAAAATTAAGAAAACAAATCGATTCTTACATGACTTGGAATGAAATTTACATCTAAAAGATAATGTAATAGATGATAAACTGCATTATGTAGATAACATTCTGCTGGAACACGTTTCTGACAATTAAAATCTTCTGCACAATTAATAGTCAATTCCAAATTATGATAATAATAAGCACATCTTCTTAACAAAGTTTCTACTCGAATAAGATCATTCTCAGTCACTCCCAAACAAGAACTTCGATTAGACAACAATGCTACATAGTTAGCAGGTGACCAACTTCTGCAACATTTATGTCCTATATTATTATGTTCCTCTTGAATCTGACATAATGAAGGAAAATGAGGATTTGCTCTAAGTGCAGCATCAATATGACACTGAGCTAGAACACCTTCCATGGTCCATAAACTTTTTTCTTCTGTTTCTGTGCCTATAACTACACGAGCATAAGCAGAACTTGGTAAATTACAGAAGAAGCTTTCACTGTCCAAATTATTATGATTTTTTTCATCTTCTATAATATTTAATCGATTCTTATTTCTTAATTCTAATAATTCTTCCCATTTATCTTTGTTATTATCATTATTTGAATCTTCTTCTGTTTCATTTTTTGTTACAATATACTTTTTTCCTTTTTTTCTGTTAATACTCTTAGGTTTTTTTCTAAGAATACCCTGACTTGTCCAACCATAACTTTGTGTAGTCGAGTCAGTCTGTTAAAAACAGTTATTTATATATTATGATATATCTTTAGAAAAAATAAAATAATTGAGTTACCTGTTGATTTATTTGTTTTAAATAATAATAATATTCCAAAGGATTATCAACAAGCTCTCCTCTAGGGCTGGTTGCTTCCATTAAATTTTGCCATGCTGTCAATCTTTGTGCTAACACAGTACCCCGTGCTTCAAATCCCTTACAATGATAAATACATATATAATATTTATTATTATATATATATATATATATATATATATATATATATACATATATATATATACACATATATATATATACACATATATATATATATACTTGTAGAAGCACATAACAATTAATAATGCTCACCAATTGAGGATCAGAAAAATCTGGAAAATTTTGAATAGTACGAGGAGCTATTAAACATGTACAAGAAAATAGAAATACTGTCAATAGAATAACATATGGATGATGTGCAACTATACGAGAAAACCACCACGCTTCCATTTTTAGCCACTGTTATATTTCACATAGATATTATTATTTCAAATCTAGATTAGCATGGTATAATAATAAAAAAGTCTTGATAAAACACCACTTAAACACATTACACTTTAGAGTAAAAATAGATTATTTCATATGTTACTTTCAAAGAAATTAGTGTCAAAATATAGTCTAGAATTACTAATACTATATGACGGTTTTATAAGTATGCACTTCACGTTGAAATCATAATTTTGTATACGTAATGCATACATCTTCGATATTTTAAATGTTGAACTTTTATGATTGCCTATCTGCACTTTACTGATTCCATTTAAGAAAAATCCACCTTTTATATGTGCAAATAGTAATATTAATTAAAATATGTATATATCGAATCGATATTTTTTTACTTACATCGATTACGATACAAAAATAATCATATATTTATTATAATACAATATTCAAACTATTACACAATTATTTTACGGTATCATTGGAAAAGTAACATGGTTGATCCATGAGAAGGGGTGGCACATGTGTTTACATCGCTATGAGTGGTACGATCCGATAGCTTGTCCGAAAAGCAAATCGAGAAGTCGATTGCTGAAATGGTAACGTTCGTAAATTGTCTGTCTCATTTTTTCTATTTTATCTCTCTCTCTCTCTTCCCAATTTTTTATGTTTTTTATTTTATATAATAAAATATATACATAATACGATTTATTATGATTTATTTTAAATGATATTTTTATTTAGCAAACTAAACACACGAAATAGTCAATTGGACGATACATTAGTATACGCATATTTATGAACAAATCCATTAAAAATACATTGAAAAAAGTAAAATAAACAATATTATTTTTATTTACGTATCTTATGCCTGCAATATTTTATTTAATATAAAATACAAATTAATTTAAATATTGCCTTTTTTTGCTTACAGTTTATGATGTTAATCATTACAAATAGTATGTCTGTGTTCAGTCCATTACACTAATTTGTTCAACAAATTACTAAGCGTTAAGTGTACAATATTTTTCATATCATTGTATAAAGCTTGACTATGAAAGTTTTCTTTTTTTGTATTTATATGAAGTAATATACATACATGATTTTTTGCTGAATATTTATAAAAAGAAAAATAATTTGGTTATAACTCTTAGTTACCAATTTAAAAGAAACTACCCTTAATTTAAAAAATATTAAAATATGTTCTTTTTATATAATATTATAAGACTATATCACTTAAGTTTATCTACATTTAAAAGAGTTTTATTAATAAATTTTATAAATAAGAAATAAATTTGATATTGGTAACCAAAGGTTATGTGTGTGTTTCACATATTCATCAAATAAATAAATGCAAAGAAAATGATCTTTAATGTTACTGGTAGTTTATAGAATAAAGCATTGAAATTTAATTTTTTAAGATTAATATTTTTAAATTAAATGAAAACATTAACGATGTTTAAACCTCAATAGGATTTACAACAATTACATTCCTTTTCGCTTCTTTTGATTCTTCCTCCGGATGTTGTAAGTCATCCTGACCTCGAATTCTGATATTATGTTTTTCTTTATACTCATTTATTTCGATACCTTTTTTAGTTAATTGGTCATTCAAAGCTTCTATTACTTTAATCAACTAAAAATAATATAAACAATTAAAGTTATACAACAATAGAATATACTTTTATATAATTATATAAAAGTACATATTTTTACATAATTATATATAAGATGTTCTATATATTATAATATCATGTACATATAGAAACAATAAATTAAAAGATAAATGAATATTTATTAGTTAATCAAACCTGTTCTTTGTTTGTTACTAATGTGGGCATAACATCTTCGACAGTACGCTCACATAATACTCCTCCAATCATTCTATAACATTTCCTTTTAGGATCAACGTTTTTTAAAGTATCGATAACAATCCTAAAAAAAAATAAATTATTATATCAACTATTTTTATATATATATATATAATAATTTGTAAACATAGGTTAAAGTGCATACTTATGTTCATTTAATTCCATTTCCATTTCGGACAATTTATTGGCCATCATTCTTTGTTCATTTCGAAGTGTTTGAAATCCAGCAAATATTTCTTCATTTGATTTTTCACCTTTTGAAGATGTTTTTCCTGATTTTTTTTCGCTAGCCATATTAGGAGATCTGACCACAACTCAAAGAAACTGAATTAGCCTAGTAGTTTCCTAACCTATACGATCATCTTGAGAGATGCAAAAATTATGGTATGTCTTCATGTTCTCGAAATTTATCATTGCATTTAGAACAAGGCGTATTTTTATAATTCGACGTCATCGAACTTATCGTATTCATTAGTATCAGCCATACATTTTTATGTAAATTGAAATAAATGAAGATAATGGAACTAGTATTTATAAAGATTGTTTTGAAATTCTAAACAAAAAAAATTATTACCTAACCTCTTAATATTTGTTTTTTTTTATATCATGTACATTTTTTTTCATATGCTATATAAATAGTTTCAAAATATATTAAAAATAAAGTAAAAAAGTATTTGCTATTATAAACATCATTTTATGTACCAATCGGAATTTAACAAATAGTAGCAAGTAGATAACAGGAAAGATCCCAAATTTTAATAATGTTTAATATACACTTATTGTACATTTTTAATTTTCTTTAATATAATATTATATACATCTACACCTAAAATGTCTAAAAGTAAATATTCTTTTGTTTATCAAAGTTATAATCTTGTCTCTTATTATACAAATATAATAATACTGATGGGTCCAAATAAACTGTTATAAGCATCTGTACATCAAATGTATATTTCATCATTTATCGATACAATCACCACGCTCACACATAAATAAAATAATTTTATAAAAAAAAGTTCATACATTCCAAATACAACATATCCACAAATGCACAAGAGCACAAACTTACAGATAAACTTAAGTATTTTTTTAAGTACAGTCTAAATAATTTTTATACTCTACAATCTTATTCATAATACATTTTATAAACAACATGAGGCAAGCAATATATAATATTTAACATTAATGAATTAATTGTGATATGTAATTGTAAAAATAGCATCATTTCTAATTCGCACTAGATGTAAAATGCTTAAAATATTGTATTATACTATTAACAAGATATTTTTCCTTAGTTAGGAAAATTATTTGTCATATTTGGAATGCAAAATACATCCATAGGGATAATACAATTTGTTTTTTGTATAAAAAATTCTTTGCCGTTAGGCCTATAATCCAAACATTATAAACTTGTGTATATATGAATATATACAAGCAGTGAAGCAAGCATGAAATAGATTTCTGCTTTTTATTTACATGTCTTCTCTTTTTTTATATTTTGTATGAATAGATATCAGATGTTGTTTAATTGTGATTTTCCAGTCTTATGAAATTATATGTTGCTATAAATTCAACACATGATAGCAACAAATAAAGAAGTGCAAGTTTATACCTGCTTAGCACATATCTGGTATAAGAATACTATAACATTAGTCATGAAGTATTTGAAATGTTCATAATATATTTGGCTTTTCAAATCCCATTATGTATATATAAAGAATAAGTTACTATAATATCTAATCACAACTCACAAGAATATTCAAGGTACTAAAGTAAAAGAAATTTCTTGGTATAATTTAAAAAGAATGTAATGTGTATCTAAATTATCATTTTCATCATTAAACAATTTCATTACCAAAACAATTTAATGGCTTAACCTTGAAGTAATACTTTTAATTTGTTGAATAACTATTTTTACTCATAGAATTAATTACATTTAGTAATTAATAAAACTTGTAAATTCCAAATGACAATAATACTTTACTTATGATATTTTTACAGAAAAAAAGTCTGTAATTTTAAATATAAATTAACTAGTATATAAAAATCTATAATTATTTTAATTATATTTTATATATTTATACAAGTCATTCATATTCAATTTACTTACAAGCAATGTTTGCTTGTATAAAAAGGAAAGTGCTTTCATACTAATATTATTCACATGTACACAATTTCATACAATGTACTTAAAATATATTTCTTATATAAATCAGTGAAAAATTGATTAAAGATGCCTAAAAGATCTTCAATGAATAACTTATAGATTAAATGAGTATAACATAAATATAAAGTAAACTAGATTAAATATATAAAACTTTGTATAAAAGATATTTATAAATATTATTAAAAAAAAAAAAAAAAAGTAAATAGATAATAAAAATGAGTATTGTATTTTATTATCAATAGATAATGCTATCAATATGGCATCATCTAATAATGCAAGTAATATACGAAATTATGTATGCAAAAGTATGTGCATATATTTATGTATTAAAATATCTAAAGCTTTTATGGCCTTGGAAATAAGTATTATCAATTTACTTGATAAATACTATATTACAAATAAAACTTGGTTTCAATTTATGACAATCAAATTGTTCATATATACTTTTCTTTTCAATGTTAAATATTTTAAAATTTGTGCATTTTTATGCTTTTTAAAATTTATGCAAATTCACATCCACTAATATGATAAGCACCTTGTAATAGGATGTCTAAAAAATTTTCAGTACTACTACACAGAAGTTTCTGAATTCAACCTCAAGAGAAACTTATTAGATTTAGGATGTGCAAGTTGTTCAGTGAGATGAAAATGCGGTAATCGATATGCTGTGCACAAAAGTGCAATCTCACCTTGTCTTAACTGAAATTCACAACCATTTGCAAGAGGTCGTGATGGCAACTCACCTTCGCAGATTAAAGCCCAATGATGAGAATCCTTTTGTCTTTCTTTTTCATTAGAAAGAACAGGACTTGTCGTAAAAAAAGGTTCCAAAAATGCACGCGGTGCTGCATCTTGTGCTAAACATCTTGCAAAACGATTTAATATTGATTCTACAGAATGACGAGGTTGTTGACGTGTAACTCTTAAATATTTTTGTAAAGCTCTTGCCATAGATGGAAATACTGCCTGTGCAGCTTCCATTGGGTCCATAGGGCCAGGACCTGGCGTGGATTCAACTTCAGAATGTAATCGTTTGATATGAGCAAATGCTTCTTCCGCAGCAGTAATTAAACGTGCTCTTCGCTTGCGTACTCTTCTCTCATAATCATGTTCTTCGTAAAAGCGGCCATTATGGCTAGAATCTCTACGTCGAGCTTGTGCAGCTAATACTGCTCTATCGCCGCTACCTCCACGCGACTGAACACCACTTGAAACACCTCCATCAACGTCATAAAATTTGAAACTTGATTGCTTTCGACTTGATTTAGAAACAGGTAAACGTTCCAAATATGGATTATAAATTGGAAAATCTGTATAATACCTTTCCAATACCCATACTGCTGCTCTTTGTATTGATAATTGTCCTATTGCATAAGATCTCGATTCACCATCTGGAGATCTCACAACCTATAATGAAACATTAAATTGAAGTATCAAATAAAGTATCAAATATAAATAAAGACTTAAATCTATTATTTATTATGTATATATTAAATTCATAAATTCTCTATATACCTTAACATAGAATGTCGGCTGCAAATGACGAACTTCTATAAGTAGCACAGCAACATAGTGAATGAATAGCAATGTATCTGCAAGAGTACCCGCATAATTTACTAAACTTTTGTACTCTGTTATTTCACCATTCGCAGCAGTCTTAGCACTTTCTGTAACCTAAAATTATAAATTATATTAAGTAATAAAATTATATTGTAATTATAATTATAACAGTTTATTAGATGATGTAGTAATAAATCACATACCTGAACAACATAAAACAACCAATAAGTACAAATGCACAGCATTGTAAGAAGTAACACACCAGCTCTGAATAAAAATACACGTGGCATAGTAGCATTTTGTGGGCGTAGAAATACAGCCCAACTTCCAATAACTAATAGTACTAATTTAAAGGCTAATCCTAGCAATTGGCCTTTGCATTCTGCATTGCATGAAAGTAATTGTAATTTTTGTTGCATTGTTAATGCAGTTGTTGTATCAGGAAAAAATCCTAATTTAGGTAGTATGACCATTGCTATAGGACTTAAAAAAGCACATATTCCAAGTAACACAGCTATTATTGGAACAATATGTCGATTGCAGGTAGATCCGAATGAAGTGTCAGATTCATTTGGCCAATGAGTTACATCTTCAGTCGATTCTGACCTATCAGATGTATTGCCAGTTACAGCTGTAGTATTTTCTCCCCAATTTTCATCTTGAGGTAATATTTGTACTTCAATAACCTCTTGACCTAAGTTATCCACACTATCTCCACGTACATTAACTGTTGTTTGAAAAGGAGCCATTTCGTTTGTATTTATATTCTGTCTTTCTTTTCTTTGACTTCGACTACTCCTAATTACAAAGAAGAATCAAACATAGAATAAAATCATAAATTATCTTGAGTTAATGCACGTTTACATCTGGCATTATTATCTGGATATATGTATCATATACTGATTATAAAAATAAAATAATTGTTTAAATTGTAATAAACAACTAACCTAGACTAAAAGAAATGTATGCCTTAATACATGATTGTTTAATATCATTTATATATTTGTTTTTTAACAAATATATAGTATTTACATATATTAGATATAAAATATTTATTTATATTAGATTCAGATCTTACAATCATTTCACAATAAAATTATCAAAGTAAAAACCTGAGAGAAGAATTTGATTCAATAGAACAAATTAGCCTACACCCAAAACTATATAATTAACTCATACAATTTCTATCAGTAAATTCGAATTAGTAATGAAATTGGTATTTACATCAGTTCGTAATAAAAATATGAAAATATATTGTTGACATTTAATACATAAATCTTAAGTAGAATCTTTTGATCGTTTATATTGTCACAGGCTATGTATTTTTTGACACAATTATTCATTTAATAAACTCTAGATGTAAACGTACTATTGAATATCATACATATCTTACTTCATGCTCAATAATTCAAACAATCACGATAAAATACAAATCATTCAAAATATTATAAAATAAATACAAAATAATAGAAGATAAAAAATATAAAAGTACACAACAATGCAGTTGGTAAAGCGCTGATTAGCGCTAGCTTTTGAGGATCGGGATCGAGAATTCTGCAAGAGTTAATCGACTGCAGCGCCTCTAATTTTCAGAAAGAAAAGTACATCAAGATTCTTACGATACCTTGTAGTTCTGTGAGAGTGTTGTCGATGATGAGATTTGGTACTGTTGTTATATACTTTATGGTGTTTTTGCGAAGACCTGCTGTGCTGGCTATGGCTATGCTCGCTAGCCCCTGATTTTACGCTCTCCGTCTCCATTCCCCAGCATAGGTTACCGCTCTTGCATTACTCCATACAAGCATTCCCTTCTTTCTACGTGTATAAACGACAGGCACATTTACGGAATTCGTTAAAAAGTGTAATTAAAGTTTTATCTTAAGATCTTCAAATGACACATTATTGGCATTAAATCCTGAGATCGTTTTCTGTCCATAAATTTTCACATTTTAACATTTCGATGATTCGAATTTAATGAATCTATTTACGATGTTCTACCGTATAAGAATATTAAGTGCACTTATGATACAATTCCTTTACAAAGCTTTAAAAAATGACGCCGCCACGCCTAGCGTTTATCATTTCCATTCTTCTTCGCCTTCTTTTGAAACCACATTCTTAAGTAATCCCTAGAGATAAAATCTCTACGATATCTAGGGACTTAGACATATTCGACCAAATGGCGAAGAAATTCGATTCAGCAGATTCTAGGGTCTAAAACTAGTGATAGTTCCATTGTAAGTTACTTGAATTTTTTCTATCGTGTTCTTGTAAATATAAAAATAATTAGAAGACTTATCAAGTGTTTAATTTTGTAAGTGATTATTTATTTAAAACATTGCTAGATATTAATTTATAGTCGATACGAAAAAAATCTGAAATAATTTAATATTAAACGAAATATGATACATTATTTTATATACTTTATTAGGTTACATTTGCAATTTCTTGTATTTTGATACAAACCACCACAACCAACTCATTACATATAATCGCTCAATGAGACCATTAATTACAATAAACAACAATTAAAAAACATGGATATCTTAAAACTGTTTTTATCTAATTAGGCAGTGTTCTAGGTTTAAGATAATCATATGATTTTGCTAATGAAGCTTATTGGTGTAACTTAGAATGTATATAAAAAGCATTTGGGTATAATTTTCAAGTAATTTCGTAGGTGAACACAATGTGATAGGCTCAATATTAATTAGTGTACAAAATATCATAAATTGGTTTTGGAAGATAATCACTGCATAAAGCATGCATTCGTTCTTGACGTGATACTGGAGTATACCTTTGCATTGGAAATGTTTTCAATACACTGTCTGTTAAAGCTCTAGTAACAGATGTTAAGTCTGCTTCAGGTCCTTGTGTATATTTTTCAAGAGCTAACATTTCTTTTTGGAATAATTCTTCCCCATATTCCTTACGTGTTTGAGGATCAAGCTGCATCCACATATCCCGAGCTTGTTCCAGTAATGAATTATTGTCTTTTAACCAAGCATTACCAGATACATATTCTCCAGTTTCTACAATCACTACATCAACTCCCCATCTTCGCATTTCTAATCGAAGACAAGAACCCCATGCCTCAATAGCAGCCTGAACATGTTAAAAATGTTATATTCTAATCAACTTTTTAGTTTGATTTTTATTGTAACAAGTAAATTTCTAACATTACCTTGACTGCACAATAAATGCCTCTTACAGGACTTGGTATGCGAGCTAAGAGACTACTCACTATTACAACACGTCCTCTTGATCTTCTGACCAATGGTAAAAATACCTATAACAATTATAAATATATATAAAAATATTTATATTATAAATAGACTAATATTATTACCTGTGTCAATCGGGCTAGACCAATAAAGTTAATGTCTATACTTCGTTTTAAAACCAAAGGAGGTACCCATTCACATTCACCTAATGTTACCCATGCTGCTGCATGCACTAATGCCCATAATCCTAAGTTGGTTCATTGTTTAATAAAATATAAAATTTAATTATTTTATTGCATTTTTTAAACAAAGAAAGATTCATTTATTATACCTGGTGCTTCATCTGGTAAATTTTCATTCACATATAGAAAAATTGAATGTATATCGTGTTCACTAGTAATATCAAGTTGAAGTACATGTAATCTTCCAGATGCATCTTGTTTTAATTTTTTCATTGTTTCTTCAGAGTCATCTTTATTATTAAATCCAGCAAACACTGTGAAACCCTGTGATAAATAACAGTGCTTTGTTAAATAATACTATCAATAATAACAATACTATTGAATTTTTAAACAGATGAATACCATACCAAGTCATCTAATTGTTTAGCCAAAGTATATCCAACTCTTGAATCACACCCTGTTATAAGCACTGCCTTTCCCGCTGCAGTAACCTATTATGTATATAATTTTTCGGTCCATGATTTCTTACTATCGTATTATTAAATATACACGCATGAGAAGTTCTAAAAGACTGCATTGTTATACCAATATATTATAAGTATACAACTATATACAAAAAAAGAAAAATCTTTATGAAGTATCCCAATGGGAATAGTATGCAATTTAATAGTCTAATCAATTTAATATTACACAAAAAAGGTTAAAAATTTTAATGGCAAGATTTTTTAAGAAATTTGTACTCTAAAATAAAAATTCTTTGCTGATTTGATTAATTATATGTATTTGAAGTTATTATTTAATGTTATTAATATCAAAAACATTTACTGTTTCATTAAAAAGATATTGACAATAGAAATTTATTGTGATAATAGATAAATTTATTATATAAGTTATCATTTAATGAGAATATATGATTATTTTTAATGCAGTGTATTTGCTATGTTTTTATTATATAGGCATGATATGAATGACTCACCTTTAAATTATGGTAAAATAATGTAGAACTCACTGATATCACTAACAAAAGTAAGAACAGTGCAAAACTAGATGTTTGTGAAATACCAAAAATATTTAATATTGTTGCCAGAATTACTGCAACTGCATGTGAAAATGCGATTGGTAATAAACATCTTTCAGCTAACTCCCAAGTTTGACTATCATCTGATTCTTTATTAACACTTGGCATTTTTTTGTTATTTTTTAGAATATCCTAATTAAATTTAATTCTTTCCATCCAGATACAGCTTATGGCTCATTTAAGAGCCTCAACTGAGCTAAGCCTGGGCTAACTTTAATCTTAAGACAGTATCTAGTCTTGTTGGTCTAAATTTAGTTGCAGTGCCGTGTCCTAAGTTCACAAGTCCTAGTCAAATTTGATACCCGATCTAAAAATAAATTATATTTGATTTGTCTAAATCTGAATTTTATTTTGTTTAATTTTTCATATAATTTTTTAATTTACTAATATTATTTAATTTTATTATTAACTTAATAATATTTTGAAGTAAGTATAAATACAAACATTGTTTTTTATATTCGAGATATAAAATATTTCAATATATCATATATGTGTATACTTGAAAACATTTAATTAATAAATATAATCAATATAAATGAATTGATAAATTTATCTAATTTGATATTTCATATATAGTTGTTACTTTATTAGACATTCTTAACGTATATATCATTCTATACGTATATATCGTTATTTTTTTTTAATTAAAAATTTGATAAATAAATGAAATGTTATATGAAATATAAGTATAAAAGCATAAATCGCGAAAATGTATCAATAGTAATATTTGATTGTTAACATTATAAATATAATTGAAAATGGAATATTTTTGTTGGTATATTTAAAGAATTACTAGGTAAATATAAAGGAATATACATAAAAAAAAAAAATGTTTTTTTTTAGATTAATGATAATCTAATATTTGTAAAATAATAACGAATCAAATAAACATATATAAGAGCAGATATATTATTTAGAAGTTTTTATTAGCACAATTCTTTGATAGTAATATTTATATAAAATTTCATCCATAAACAGTGGTATAGTTCGTCCGCCCGAAGTGAAAATATGTAGTCTACTGTAGGGTAGGTTATTGATTTCTGTCTAGATGCCATGTTGGTAGTGAATACGGTTGGGGGTGTCTCTTGAGTGTATATATATCGCAGCAGTCTGCAAGGAGTATAAATAGGAGGGGTAGTTGCACCATTGACCCAGTGTTGAGTTGACACACAGTCAGTTCAGTCACTCAAGCGTTATCGTTAAACATTGCCGTCTTCTACATTTTTTATTCTTTCATGTGAATCGCTAATGCTATACTAAAATTCGTAAAGAACCAAATTGATCCAATACAATCCTACAACACTGCCCTTTCGTATTTGCGTTTAAACCATACGAATTTTTATTCGAACCACATCAGTACTTATATAGTGCTTTAATATAACAACGTTTGTAAACGTTTATAGTTAATAGTATTGCGTAAATGTAAGCTCGATTGCATTTCATTTAAGGATATAAGTGCATTGTCCAACAAATGTGCAACGAGAATCAGGCCTTATAAGTGTCAATTTTAAAAAAAAAAAAAAGTGAATTTCTGCTCTATCAAAACCATTGTTTTTATTCATTATTGAAAAATTGAAAAAAGGCAATTTTTTCGAAAACGTATTTAAAAAAATTATTGTGAATCTATTATTTACAATTTGAAGCAACATGTCAGAGACAGCAGGGATAGTACAAGGATTGGGTAATCCATATAAGATAGTCGATCATGCAAGAGAAAGAAGAAAGGGTATCACTGCCTCTTCTTTAAAAGATTTAACTAATATTGCTCGAAATCGCTTGGCTTTACCACCAGATGCAAATCTTACAATTGTATTAGAGCAAGATGGTAAGAGTACATTATTATTGTATAGAGCATATCTTAAAATTTTGTTCTAAATTTAAATTTATTTTTAATGGTTAAGGTTTGGTTAACTTTGTATTTAGGAACCGAGGTAGATGATGAAGAATATTTTGCAACTTTGGAAAGAAACACCAGTCTAATGGTTTTATATGGAGATCAGAAATGGATTGCAGCAGGTAGTAGCAAAACTGCTTCTCGTTATATTGTTGTGGATGATGTGGACAACATAGAAGGCACTTCAAGAAGTACCGAAATCAGACGTCGACGTCCTCCAATAGAACCATTGGTTTCATCGCTACATGATGATCCATCACATATTTCATTACTTGGTGGAAATGATTTAGAACTGCTCAGTGATATGGATCCTGACAGCTTAGCTGATATAGTACCTGACAGGTCTGTGCTTAAATTTTATAAATATATAAGAATTTCGTCATGAACATTTCTTATCTTCTCTTTTGCCATTTATTTTAGGATTTTCCTTGAGCAATTGAAGGAAGCATCTGGTCGATTTCTCGCAGAAAAACGACAAGCACAGGAGTCAATGGCTCTTCTTCAGATTTATGCAAGTGGTGGAGAAATGGAGCGAGCGTAGGCCATGTGGGGGGTGGGCGCCCTCACATTGGCTAATATGTATCGAGTTAGGCGTCGTATTTTCTATAAAGGTCGCCAATTACAACAAACTTTAATCCTTCTTTGGAATTGAGCCCATACAACATTTACTTGCAAGCCTCATTTGGAGCAAGCAAAAAATCATTGTACTACAGCAAAAAATGAAAAAATTTATGGATTAAGGATTTACAATTCTTTTCCATATAAAACCTGTTTACCAGGGTTGTTTTGAAGAAAGTGAGATGATAAAGAAATACGTACAGATACACAAATAATTCTATTTGACTACAAATGATTTATGGAGTATTTGAAAATATTTATTCAGTCCAAAATTATCAAATTTAATAACCAAAGATAAACAAAATCGTGCTTATATATCTAATGAGTTAAATATTGTATAATTAGATCAGATTTTATCTTATGTTTTTGTTAATATATATATTATTAACTCAAGAATAGATACTTTGGACATATGTTAAGTTTAGTATGTGGTATATGGAATTGCTTTAATACAAAATATGATTATAATACAAATATATAAAGTACTTAGCCATTAAATAATCTGAACATATTTGATAAGAAAAAATAATGATGTCAAAGAAGGTATTCCGTCACGATGTTATCATATCAGTATTAGCACAAGAATATGTTTTATTTATATATTTTATGTAGATATATCCATACTGAACTTATGTTCAACGAAGATTGATGGAATATTTAAGACTGAATTTATAGGAAAACCGATTGCATCCCCATTAAAATCACCAATTCATTGAACACTAGATGTAGTGATGTATTAGAAAACAAAACAATATCAATCCTTTGATACCAAACGAAGTTGTGCATTTGATAAAAAAATCAGCAGAAAATAAAGAAAATAGACAGGTGTTCCTGAAAAGATTATACATATGCACAATTAGTAGATGAGCTTCATGGTACTAACTGTTCTTCATTTGTAATAAGCAAAATAATTTTTAAATATTTAAACAAATTGTTACTATTACAATTACATTATGTTGTATTTTACATTAAACTATATGTAAAAGTTGAATGACGCTATATTTTAAAAAGAAAGAAAGGAGAGAACAGTGAATACAATGTGTATGTCTACTCTTTACAGGTACTCCATATTTAAATATCGTGACATTCTTTGATATATATATCTTAACATACATATGCAGAATTTTAGTGTTTACATTGTTATCCTTACAATAAACGTCTAATTTATGTCATGCAAAACTAGTCAATGCAACGATCAGTATAAGGATATTTATTACTTGGTAATATATAGATACATCACTAAACCAAACTGCATTTGTTGTGTATTAGAATTATTTTAATTTCTAATAAATTAAAAGGAATATTATTCATACTTGAATTTTTTAGGTATGATAGTATATAATTAATATATTGAATAGACTGCCAATTACAAGCAACACACATTAGTGCTCAATATATTGTATTTAATGATTGTTTTTAATATTTGCATTCAATGCAATTTTGAATAACTTTATTATCTTCAGTCTATAGTATTATTATAAATATATTTTATTAACAAGGATATATTAACAAATGAACAAACAACTTATGTTTTAATAGAATGTAAAAAACGCGTATTTATAAGTTCATACAGAGCGTTAGATGCATTTTTAGATTTATTAGATGCATTACGCAATTGACAAACCGCCTCTTGTAAGACAAGTTCGCTTCTTAATAATTGTCTGTTGACAGCTGATAATTCTTGAACATCATTAACAACTGTTCCTTCTGTCATCTGAATTATATCTTTATCCAATGTTTCATTACATTCACCTATATAAAATATGAAAGTAACATTTTTTATTTGCATTACATTATTATCGTTATTATTTAAAATAGATAATATTTCATAAAAAATAATTTTTTCTCTTTATAAATATACAATGTATCATTTATACTATATATACATTTAAAGTATATACATAACAGGATAATGTTCTGCTTGTGAGTAAAACAAATTTTAGGTGCTAAATGAAATGGATCATAATCCATTAAATTCTTACTTCAGTAAAAAAATTGCATTATCGATAAAAATGTTTCTGCATCAAAAATATTATATACAATACTGTGTTTTAGCTATAGGGATGCATATTGTACTACTATAATATTAATGAAATATGATGTTATTAAAAGCATCTGTTTTACATTCTTTCTGTAACCAAAACCTGTAGGACATTAATGTATTTCTAAAAACATAATTATTCAGCCTTATCAAATAAAAAATCTTTGTATTACTTACGTAGTTTTTTATGAAGCAAGCTATTATATTTAATGCTGCTTTTCTTGGATTTTAGTGTTTTAACTTCTGCATAAGGTGGGCAAGTCATAGCATCAACTGCTCCACTGATACTGCTCAAACTTGTACCATCTATAAATATGGTATATATTACTTAAATTTACTATATAATGTATAAAAATTATTATCTGAACTACCTTCATCAGATTCAGGAGCTTCGCCAGTAATAATCGTGCCACAATAATTTGGTGTACGTACAGAGGGAAATCCTATGCCCTGAAAGTTAAAAAATGAAATTATATATACAAATATACACATTTACACAAATACACATATAACATATTATTTTTTAAATCATTTAAATATTATAAGAATTAATATACCATAGTGATACTAGCAGTATCATCATCTGATTCTGGTGCCTCTCCTGAGATAACTACAGCTTTCAAGTCCATTTTTCTATAAAATCTAGAAATTAATATATATTCTTTTTTCTTTTATAATTGAATTTTAATTGGTTTTAAGTTCGGTAATTTTAAAAACATTAAAACAAAAAATATAATACAATAAAAAAATTCAATAACGTCATAACAAATAATCATATACCCAAAATATATTATAGTAATCTTTTTTTAGGTTATGGTTGACGTATATTTTAAAATTCTAAATAAACAGAATATATTTCGATAGTAGGTTATAATGCTACGTTTGCTTTTTACACTTAATATTATATATACCTAATATTATTTTATATTTTTTTTTACTTAAAGGAAAATTATTGTTTTAGCTTAAAAGAATTAAGTCTAGGACTATGAAAGCGCAGGTTTACCGTTAAAAGAAGTTAACCAAATTTTATGACATTTAATAAAAAAGAGTTGACCACCACCTTCCGTTCGAAGCGTAATTTCGCGATAGATATAGATAAAATATGAATTAGAAATGTAAAAGAAGAACATTTTCCCCACTATGCGCCCATTGCGACGGTATATAAATAACTTAATTTAAAAAACTCTACTGCGTAATTTAATAAACGAGTTAGTGTGTAATAGACATTTTTGTATATAATAAAATTTTTTGGAACAAAAATAAAGATAGCAATAATAAAGAAATTAAAATGTTTCAATCCATTTTTCGAAGAAATTAATTTATAATTCAATTATATCTAAAGTGTTTATCTAACAATACATACTTTACAAAGTAAAGTGAAAATACATTAATGTTAAGTTACAATTCGCTAGAAAAATTTTAAAACATTATTGAAATATGCAGCCATTCGCTCGATAGTACTTCTGCTATATAATCGAAATTTAAATTTCAATATATAACAAATACTATTGACCCAGGTCTCACCACGAGGAGGTTGCTGCATGTGGAGACCCACGAGCTAACGGTGACTCTACTTTACTCTAAAAATCCGCGTTCCACGATACCGATTCATTATGCCTTCCGCTTCGGATATTTTGGGCATGGTTCAAAGCTAACAGGAAGTATCTAGCCTCAGCTACAGGGACTCCACTTACAGAAAGCTTTACCGTTCAACACCCTCCGCCTCAGGCATAACGAATTATTAAGCACATCTGAATTCGTGCATCCGAATTTCGAACAATCAAAGCGCATTAATCGCGTTCGCGACACTCACGTGTGTATAGTTACGTAGATTCTACTGTTCTATCCAAATTCGCGAAGTAATCTAATCGATAAGTCGAAGAAATTAAACAAAGTCCCCGGTAGGACTTTCAATCGCGCAAGCGAACTCTCACGTGAGTGTTAGAATAACGGTGACTCTAAGTTGAAATCCGAAGCGCACTCCGAATTTCAACACTAAAACGAAGTCCATGATAGGACTTTTAATCGCGCCCGGACACCCACGCAAGTGTTCGAAAATCGGTGACTCTACTCTAAATAAACTAATCGAATATTCGAGCAAACAAAACGAAGTCCCCGGTAGGACTTTTAATCGCGCACGCGAACACCCACGCGGGTGTTAGAATAACGATGACTCTAAGTTGAAATCCAAAGTGACATATGCTAACCGGTATTTAGACTTTCCATGATATTTGTCGGGATTTCCGCCCCGCTACCAAACATTAGGATTGTCATAACATCAGCCAGCTATGTACAGCACTACAAGGTAAACCGTTCGCGCACCCCAAATTTCAACACTAAAACGAAGTCCATGGTAGGACTTTTAATCGCGCCCGGACACCCACGCAAGTGTTCGGAAAACGGTGACTCTACTCTAAAAAAACGCGTTCGCGTGGTAATCTAATCGAATATTCGAGCAAATTTAAACGAAATCCCCGGTAGGATTTTTATGTCGCGCTCGCATTCATTCACGTGAGTGTTAGAAAAACTGTGACTCTATTCTAAATTCGCGTTTTCGATTCGAACTATCAAACGAGGTTTAATCGCGCCCGAGAACACCCACGCTTGTGCACGCCGACACGCACGCGAGTGTTCTTCCTATCCTGCCCGTATTCTCGCGTAAAGATCGATGATGAATCCAGCCATGCTACGATGACGCATCCGATTGCAGGTGAATCTATCTCTCGATGATCTATCCTGGAAAAAAAGAAGATAAGGAAAAAATAAGAAAAGAAAAGAAAAGACATATTGAATATCGCTCCATGATTGCTCGGTCATCCCTGAAAAAGAAAAAAAGAAGATGAATAAGAGAAATAGAAAAAATATATAAAATAGAAAATAAATACGTATAAATAGATAAGAGTGCTGGAGAATGAAAGAGCTCTACACGATGCTGAAACAGTTGCCCGCACCATCTCATGGGTCCTACCTAAAACTTATAAATCATAATTAATAAGAATATATTAATAACATACCTAAAAACATAAAAACATAATTAAAAAGAAATAACATAAATAAATGTTAAAGAAACATAATTAAAAGGAAATAACATAATTAAATTCTGGAAAGATATAATAAAAAGAAATAACATATTAATAACATAATTAAAAACATAATTAAAAACATAATTAAAAACATAATTAAAAACATAATTAAAGAAGAAAAATATGAGTAATAAAAGAGAGCTGCTGAAAGATAAAACAATAGAAGTAGCCCTGCATGCTGCTGAAACAACAGTCCGCTTCATCTAAATGTTCCTACCTAAAACCTGTAAATCATAATTAATAAGAATGTATTAAAAACATAATTAAAAAGAAAGAACAAATATATATTAAAGAAACATAATTAAAAAGAAATAACATAATAAAAATCTGAAAAGACATAATGAAAAGAAATAACATCTTAATAACATAATTAAAAACATAATTAATAACATAATTAAAGAAGAAAAATATGAGTAATAAAAGAGAGCTGCTGAAAGATAAAAAAATAGAAGTAGCTCTGCATGCTGCTGAAACAACAGTCCGCTGCATCTAATGGTTCCTACCTAAAACCTGTAAATCATAATTAATAAGAATATATTAAAAACATAATTAAAACCATAAAAACATAATTAAAAAGAAATAACAAAAAAATATTAAAAAAACATAATTAAAAAGAAATAACGTAATAAAAATCTGAAAAGACATAATGAAAAGAAATAACATATTAATAATATAATTAAAAACATAATTACATAAGAAAAATATTAGATAGAAAAGAAAGCTGCAGAAAGATAAGAGAATAGAAGCAGCTTTACACGATGCTAAGACAGGAACCCGCACAGAGGCCCACACCCATGTCCCCATCCCATGGGTCCCACCCGAGACTTATAAATCATAATTAATAATAGTAAATAAAAATGAAAAATATGAAATAGAAAAGAGAGCCCCAAAAAGAGAAAAAAGGAGATGAAGTTCTATACGATGCTAAGAGAGCAACCCGCACAGAGGCACACCCCCATGGACCCCTCCCATGGGTCCCACCCGAGATATATGAAGGATTATTAGTGAGAGTAAATAAGAATAAATAAAAATGACAATGGACATAAAATTGTGATAGATAAATTTCCTTGTCGTTCTGTAAGAAATTATTGTACAATAGAATTCTGCCATATTCCTTCTTTTGAAGTATTATTAGCGATATAAAATAGAAAAATGTTAATGTTCAGTTGGAATTAGATTAAAAAGATATTGGGAAAGTAAAAAAATATGCAGCCATTCGCTCAGTAGTACTTGCGTTAAAGATTCTACATTAGATTATGCAAGTAATACCGACCCAGGTCTCACTACGTGGAAGTTGCTGCATGTGGAGACCCACGGGCTAACGGTGACTCTACTCTAAAATCCGCGTTCCACGATACCGATCCGCTATACCTTTCCGCTTCAATGCACTGGCTTCTTAACTAACAGGGTATGCGTAGCTTTAGCTACTGCACACCTCTTACAGATAGCTCCACCATTTGCACCGTCCGCTTCAGACATAACGAATTATTAAGCACATCTGAATTTGTGCTATCCGAATTTCGAACAAACAAAGCGCACTCCTTAGACTACTACTCGCGTCACGACACTCACGTGTGTGTTATAATTACGTAGATTCTACTGTTAAGCCGAAATTCGCGAAGTACCCCCAACGAAATTTTGAAGAAATCAAACGAAGCCCACGGTAGGACCTTTAATCGCGCCCGAACACCCACGCGAATGTTAGAAAAACGATGATTCTACTCTACAATTCGCGTATTCGATTCGAACAATCAAACGTAATATAATCGCGCCCGAGAACACCAACGCCTGTGCCCGCCGACACGCGCGCCAGCGTTCTTCCTATCCTTCCCGTATTCGCGTGTAAAAATCGAGGATGAATCCAGCCAGGCGACGACGTATCCGTGTGCAGATGAACCTATCCCTCGATGATCTAACCTGGAAAAGAAGAAGTTAAGCAGAAAATAAGAAGAAAACAAAATACATAAAATAAACATAATTAAAAACATAATTAAAATCAAACACATAATTAAACACATAATTAAATACATAATTAGAAAGAAGCAACATAAATAAATATTAAAAATACATAATTAAATGGAAATAACATATTAATAACATAATTGAAAACATAATTAAAAATGAAAAATATGAGATAGAAAGGAGAGCCGGAGAAAGAAAAGAGAGCACCAGAAAGAGAAGAATAGAGAGTCCCAAAAAGATAAGACAAGAGAAACAGCTCTATATGATGCTGAGACAGCAACCCGCACAGAAGCCCTCGCCCACAGGCCCCACCCATGGGTCCCACCCGAGATATATAAAGAATAAATAATGAAAGTAACTAAGAATAAATAACAGCGGAGATAAAAGAGAGATAGAAAAATATCCTTTCCGTTTCTCCGAGAAATTATTGTACAATAGATTTCTGCTATATTTCTTCTTTTGAAGTATTATTAGCTATATAAAATGAAAATATATTAATGATTAGTTGGAATTAGTTTGACAAGATATTGGAAAAGTAATAAAATATGCAGCCATTCGCTCGGTAATACTTGCATTTAAAAATTTACAATTAAACTTTGCAAGTATTAACGATCCAGGTCTCACCACGAGGAGGTTGCTGCATGTGGAGACCCACGGGCTAACGGTGACTCTACTTTACTCTAAAAATCCGCGTTCCACGATACCGATTCATTATGCCTTCCGCTTCGGATATTTTGGGCATGGGACAAAGCTAACAGGAAGTATCTAGCCTTAGCTACAGGGACTCCACTTACAGAAAGCTTAACCGTTCGACACCCTCCGCCTCAGGCATAACGGATTATTAAGCACATCTGAATTCGTGCATCCGAATTTCGAACAATCAAAGCGCATTAATCGCGTTCGCGACACTCACGTGTGTTATAGTTACGTAGATTCTACTGTTCTATCCAAATTCGCGAAGTAATCTAATCGATAAGTCGAAGAAATTAAACAAAGTCCCCGGTAGGACTTTCAATCGCGCAAGCGAACTCTCACGTGAGTGTTAGAATAACGGTGACTCTAAGTTGAAATCCGAAGCGCACTCCGAATTTCAACACTAAAACGAAGTCCATGATAGGACTTTTAATCGCGCCCGGACACCC